TATCACTTGTAAATAAATCATCATCTCCGTTCATATCAATGGGTACCAAACAATAATCGTGATCTGACTCACATACATGTTTTCTGATTGGCACCAGAGGAGGAGTTTTCTCTTTAGCTTTTTCAACTTTAGCTTGGTATTTTTTAAAGTTGTCCCATATATCCAACACTTGTTGCTCATTAGGTTTCTCGTCAGTGGCTTCAGGTTTTTCTTCAGTCTTAGGAACAATATCCATATTATTCTGCGTAGTTTCCATTGATTCTAATTTATAACTTTCCTCTTGCTTGACTGTGTCAACGATTTTTTCATCTTTCACCTTCGATGGAAGACCACTATCCGACTCGTCACTGCTGTCACTTTCTGATAAATTTAAAGCTGGTAAATTCACATCAAGCAACAAGGCATCCTTATCTTTTAACTTCTTTTTCTTTTCTTTCTTAGTAAGCTGTTCAGTCCCTAATTCAGTTTTAACGTCGGAAGTACCAGCTTCCTCTTTTGGTTTGTTATCTAACAAATCAATTATAGGGATTGATTCTCTAGAAGAATCTGGTAATACTTCAGTTGACGTGTTGGGCTTAATGTCATTAAAGTTTTCATTAATTGATTTCTTCATATGCTCATCTAGATGTTTGTTTAAGAGTTTCTTAGAAACAAACTTTTCAGTACATCCTTCCTCTGTACAAACATGGGGAAACTCATTCGAGTGAAAACGTTTGTGAACTTTTAAATATACAGCTTTTGTAAATTGTAGATTACATTCCTCACAAGCAAATACAGCAGGAGGTGTGCAGAAGTGATAGACATGGGGCCATTTCTTCTGTAAGCATCTTTTGCACAAGACACTTTCAGTGCCATGTTTCCAAAACAAGTGATTGGTTATGTCTGGCTTATTCCTATAAGCAATGCCACACCGATAACACAAATGATGCAATTTGTGTTTCCAAACATGATTGGAAAGACGAGCTTGATTATGACAAAGTTCCAAACAGACATCACATGTGTGGTGAATCTTCCGCAGGTGCACCATTAATCTGAATGGTGATGGGATGGCGTCTACATTGCACAAACAACATCTAAACTTAACTTCATATTCAGAATCATATGTTCCAGGGCATAAATGACATATTAATTCACTATAACTATAAAAATTAGATTTACACATTACACACAATAAAATTGTTTTTTGATGCATTTTACGATTATGTAAATAGAGATCTTTGTGTACAGCAGTTTTGAAATAACACTGAAAACATTCAAACATGTAGTCATACTGAACATCATCACACTTTTCTACACTGTCATAGGAGTCCAAATTTATATAGACCATATTTAGTTCAGGAGCACCGGACTTCAATTTAGCAGTAATAGTTTCAGGCATTAGCTCCTCTGCTGTGATGCTGTCTACGGTTGCTGCAAAACGATGTTGGGCCACCATATGCAAAGCAAGTTGCTCACAATTTACTGCAATTTTACGCACATGATTGCAATATATACAACTATATATGGTAGATGATAGAAACACTTTCAAAAGATCCTTAAGAGGATATTTATCCAGGGGCCGGTCAAGAGAAAGTTGGGTGACAGGAATAGTTGGTTCTTCAATGATAGGTTCAACAGGTGGATCTTGGTCAATTTCCTGATCTATTTCTGACTTTAATTTGATATCATCTTTCTCATCATCCACTTGAATATCTTCATCTACTTGTAATGGTTCTTCTGGCTTTAGGTCCACAGGTGGTGTCAGAGGTTCAATAGGTGGTGTCTCTATCACTGGCTCATCTTTTATTTTATCTATTGATTCATCTGTAATAGGTTTATTTTCATCTACTGTCAGTTTATCACTTGCATCACTGTCAGAAGAGTAATCACTAGATGAATCTTTATCCAACAGTTCTTTAGGAACTCTGACTGTCAATTTGGGTACCCTGTTCATTGTATTTATTTCTTCTAATTTGTTGTCATAAATTGTTGTTTTAACAGTGTTCTCTATCTTCATTTCAGGAGTTTTTGATGGAGCTTCAAAGTTGTTATTTAGAAGTGTTTTTAGAGTAGTTTCTTTATTATTTTCAAAAATAGTTGTCTTTACAAAGGGACTGTCAGCTCTATCACATATTGTCATTTTTATAGATTGTGGTTTAGCAGGCACTACTGGATCTACATTTACATCTTTCTCATACCGCTTTGGTGGCCGTCTCACTCTAGATGGTGGTTTATGTACTTTTTGTTGTCCAATAGTAGGATCAACAGTTGAATTAATTATAACTGGAGAGTTTGCATTATTTAAACTTAATTTTAACTTTATACCACATTCTTTCTCCCTTTCCACAGGAATACAAATTGCCTCATCATTTTTAATAGGTGAAGGCTCTCTAATTGTTTCATTTAATTCATCAGAGATTGGTGAATCACTTTCATCTGAATGTTCTAAATTGTCATCTCCATTGGAAAACATATGTTTGTTCTGCTCAGGGCTGAAGTTGTTTTGGTGTATTGGACTTGAAACAGGCTTTGAATCTAAGTTTTCAAGTCCCATTCCTGAATCAAAAGCATTATCTTTACTAGTAACTAGTGAGCAGTCTGAGGTAATACTTGTATCACTTATTACAGGTTCACTAGCACTGCTTGTGTCAGGAATTATAGCTGCAGGTTTATGTGTCTGTGATGTGACTGTTTCAGGTTTGCATTCACTGATATCTCTTCTTTCACAAATTGACTTGACTGTTTCTTTTGTTAAACTTGTTGGTCCATTAGTTGACACTTCATTGAAACTTTTAGCATTCTTTACACTATTGGTTTTTACTGCTTTGCTAACAAGAATAGGCACGGGTCTTGGTATAACATTATTACAATCATGGTTGAAAAAGTCATCTTTTTCACTACAAATTTCATCACATGCACAGCACATCAAATATAATGTACCACTAAAAACATTGAAGAACTCTTCTTTGCTCTCATAATTAAACTCTTTAACATTGTGTTTATTTGAAAGGTGGGATGAGAGCTTCTCTGCTTTAGAAAACATACCCAAACAAAATAAACAAATGTGTCTGTTATGTACTTCTTTCATATGAAGAAATAGATTCCAGTTTTCGTAATAATGTCCACATGCCGAGCACAAGTACAATTTCCTTGTGACTCTTGACGGCCCACTTGCATTTTGTTCTGGGCAAGGAGCTGCCTCAGGGCTCAACGCAGGCTCTTTTGCTTGTGCTCGACATACTAATTGATGTTCTTTCAACATGGCTAAAGTCTTAAATGACATTGAACAGCATTTCCGGCACTTAAATTTTACCATAGGTTGCAAACCCAGGCTTTGTGCATATTCTTTCAACTGGGGTTTCTTTTCTCCTTTACCCTTTTTGAACTGCAACAACTGGCTTTTAGGCACAAGCCGAGGAACAGGTTTGTCACGCTCACTAATAGCATCAGTCTCAGCTTGTGATGGAACATTGTGAAATTGACTACGGTCTAAGTGCTTAGGAATAAGTTTGGGCACTCTGGGCACTGAATTGGCTGGTGTGCTATCACAAGCTTTGTTTGAAGACTTTCTTTTCTTACTTGTGCTATAATATTGAAGAGAGTTGTCAACAAATGGCCTTTTTCCAAGGTGTATTCGAAGAGGATTGATACGTCTTTTGCACTTGTCGTCGTATGAAGTATCGGAAGATTGCCGACGCTGCTCGTACTGCTCGTCAGGCGGACTGGACTGCTCGCCAGCGTATTCATGTCCATTTGCCGTAAATTTCAGTGGCCGTTCACCGTACAAGTTTGTCAATGACGCTGCTGAGCTTTTATCGTCTTTTGTATTGACAATATTACCATCATCCATAGTTTTCTGGAAAAAAAATCAACACGTGCTTATGACTACTAGGAAACAAAAGACGCTCAAACAAGAAGAAATCGAAACATGATTTGAATTATCATCGTAACAACAATAATAAAATATGATCTTTACCTCGGAATTCGTCCGTCCAGCACGAGTGCAAGAATATAGATTCGTGTCCATGCATCCGTTTGATTAGAGCAATCCTTACATCAGGCTTAGTATGAGGCAGCCGCGGGCTGATCATTCCCGTAAAATGGCGTCACTTCGCACAGCGAGGAATCGTGATATCAAAAGTGTTGCTCTTTATTTGTACCACTCAAATCACAGTTCACAAACATTTTTAAGGTTTTATATGACACAATTGAACACAAACAATATTATATTAACCACAATAAATTGTTTATTTCCAAACACATTATCGAAAATCGTAGCGTATTACGAGAAGCTAATTCATGTATCATAGACTAAATTTTTACTTCTTAATTTTATTTTTTTTAAACTTCTATGGCCGAGCATGGCGGTAATCATGAACACGTGGTTTTTTACCATAGACAGCTAAAAAATTTATTTGCATTCTTTGGATTGGTATATTTTTTTGCGAATAAAATCTTTCTCCATCATATTCATTACATGCAACCATATAAATTTATTTATAGCAATTATGATAGTGAACCTGAAGTAATCGATATAAATTTTATATTTTAACTTCGTCAGTGTTGCCAAAAGCATTACAGTCATTATGTATTTAATCGGTTAAGATTTAATTTAATTTAATTCAAACAAACGAAGTTAAAAAAAAATGACTATTTTAATAGTAATTGAATAGTAATAAGACACTTTGGTTATGAAGATAAACGAGAAGAGAGAAGAGAAAAATAATGTACTCTGGTACGCGGGTAATTTCTACTAGTGTTTCATGTACACGGATGGTTGATACATACTTGACTATACTATAAGTTTCTTGGATGGTACTTAGTGGCGCTGGTGATTCATCGACTTACTGTTTGCCTTTGATTTCTATAAAATAATACTTACTTTCGTTTTTGAATTAGGATATTTTGAAAAAAATTAACGTTTATCTGATTTAAGAATTAAACATAACAAACATCTACAGATACCTTATGAGTTCGACTAAACACGTTTCTTACTAAAAGGCATCGAAGTCTGCACATCACTAGTACTTCTTAGTCTATGATATTTTTTGCTAATTTGTCAAGGAAGCTCTTAGCTCAAGCAGAGGGTGCGAAGTTTTTATCATTTTTTTAGTGCGATTTTCTTTTCTTTACGTTTCTTATGTAGACAATGCAGATACAAGATGATGTCTGATCAGTTTAGAAAAGTAGAACCGTATTCTCCAAAGTCGTCGCCGCGAGGCGCGAGGTCACCAGTGGTGTCTCGTCAGGATTCCTCTGGAACCCTCAAAACTACCATCTCACTTGGCAAGAACCCTTCAATAGTGCATAGTGGACCATTTTATTTGATGAAAGAACCTCCAGGTAAAAACTAAGTTTACAACGTTATCATTTTGATTGTTTATTTACAAGCAATGTGTTACTTCACGACTTTATTTACAGGAGAATGTGAACTCACAGGAGCAACTAATTTAATGGCTTATTATGGCCTTGAACATTCTTATAGTAAATTTAATGGCAAGAAACTTAAGGAATCATTGTCTTCATTTCTACCTAACCTACCTGGAATTCTTGATGGGCCTGGACAGGAAGATAATAGTACATTAGGTTCAGTCATAGCTAAGAGGCCAATAGGTGGCAAAGAACTGTTGCCACTGACAAGTGCTCAGCTAGCTGGATTCCGACTGCATCCAGGTCCTCTGCCTGAACAGTACAGATATGTAAGTGCAACCCCACCAAAGCGACATAAGACTAAGCACAAGAAACACAAGCACAAGGACGGAGTCCCACCCGGACAAGAGACACCATTGCAAGGTAAATATTATTATCATTCATACATGTTTACACTCACACTTTCTCCTATGAGGGTAGGTAGGTTTCCTATGTAAATTAATTAAATTAAAGGCAACTTTGGTTCAGTATAGGGTACAATTTTGGGGCTGAATAAAATGTTCAATATTCCATAAATTAAATAAAACTGAATTTGTCTCGGTGTTTGTTCTTAGAATATTCAGATATTATTACATGTTTGTAATTTTTTCATGTAAGTTGCTGTTTTATGACCTATTTGCAAAATATAATTATTTTTTCATTACACTGTTGGTTCTTTATAATGTATTGTCTAATTGATCATACAACTTCCTAACAAAACTCAAATATACAGATTCCTCAAACCCAGACACATATGAGAAGAAACACAAAAAGCAGAAGCGCCATGATGATGACAAAGAACGCAAGAAAAGGAAAAAGGAGAAGAAGAGGAAAAAGCAAAAGCACAGCCCTGAGCATGGAGGTCTCACTCCCAGCCAGCACCCACTACCATAAACTATTGTACCATACTAGAAGATGAAGCTATTGAGCCCAAAGAGACTGCTCTGTATAATCTATTGCTCAGTTCAGACACAAGCTGCAACCAAAATATACCTTACTAAATATACTTATTCCTATCATCATTTTGCGAGGAATGTTACCATTTGCTAAACATAAATGGAGTAGTTTGAAATAATCATAAAACATGTTAAACAAAATTGTTATCACAAGTACTGGTTGCTAGATTGAACAAACTGTTTAAATTATTGAATCTATTACTTCTATTAGCTATTATTTATGTGTGCACTTTTTATTCATAGTAGAGGTAGTAGGAGTGATTACTATTATTTTTATGAATATTACTTGCATTAGACAAATTAAATGGGAATATTGTTAGCTAGGGTGAATTAAAATTAGTGTAAATAGTAAGTACACTAGATCAAGCTATTTTAGAGATTGTCATCTCTACTGTCATCTCTTTGGGCTTGACTCTTATGAAATTAGTATTAAGTGATTATACCTACACACAGTAAAAATATTCCATTTTACCATTTTGTTCATTTTTTTCATTAATTTCATGAAACCAATGTTCATTGTAAATATTCATAAATCATTTGTTTATTTTATGTATAAGAAGTACCACTCTAATAGACCTAATAAATACGATAGAATGTTACATGAAGTTTATTTTTTATAATGCTACAAAACCCATCCCCTACGAAGTGTTCATGCTAACAAACGAGTTTGAGCGAAGGAAGCCTACCGGCAAGCCAAACTTACGGTGCGCTACGTTACGCTATCAGACCACCAAAAAATAATTACTCATTTTAACGAGTGCCACATATCACTTCTGCATAATGTTCAGGCAAGCAAATTGGGGCAGTCTTGCTAGATAAAAGTAAAGTAATTAAAGGTAAATCAATTAAAATACGACTATTAGGTATTTATTCATTGACAATACAAAAGTAATGTAAGATTTAAGATTTAGTGCATCTTTCAAACTAGTTATTGGAATCTCTCGTGTCCTTCAGTCTTATGTCAAAAACGGTCTACAGTTCGTACAATGTGTTATTCATTGTATAACTGTCTTTTGATGCACATTTCATGTAAGAGTTAGAGATTCGCCCGCATTTCGATATGCAATGAAAACAATAGATAAATGATAACATGATAAATAGAAAACTGTATTTATAATTTGTTAATGTAACAAATACAATTAATGTCTATTTATTAATAGATTCCTAAAAAACTAGATTCAGGAAGTTTTGTATCTATGTGGGGGTCAGAAGTTCACCAGTCAGTTCAGTTTCAATTTTTTATGTCATAGTTTGGAAAGCGAGCACACGGATTGTCTAGTGGTAAGCAATCAGCGGCTTGCCAGCGCCGCCCATGGACACTTGTAATACCAAAGGAGTTGCTGGAGGTTCATTGCCGACCTTTCGTTAGTTAGCTGGTAAGGGATTTGAGGATCATTATCAATTTCACTGGTTAAAACAAAATCCAGTTTTCATCCAATTTATAGTATGATACGAGACAAGGTTAAATCTGAATCGGTAAGTAAATCCGAAAGTTAAATCTGTAACTGAGATCAAGTAATACACATGGGAACTTCATGGAAATAAAACAACACATTCAGAGCGAAATTTATTTAAAATATTCAAATTTATACAATATTAAGTCTGTTTTCGCTTCATATAAAAAGACAGTTGGTCATTCATAATTAAACTGAAAACAAATAAATTAGTAATGCAGCACCAAAATACATACATCATACTTAAAAAAATTACGATCCTACTTACAAATTATACTGACATTGATCTTTACTACGCAGGCCGAAGAAACACTGACTGTCTGGCCCGTCAGACGTCCACTGCGTCTGAGTAGACGATACATTAGGCTGATTAGGCTCTTGTTTATTTTAAGGTGTATCCACATCTGACGAAGACTGCATTCGACAAATTCGAATGCACTACCTATTAGGTGGAAGAATGATTATACGAAGGCGTATCGTTCTTTACAACAACAATTATAAACACGTTATCGGTGAAACACGCTGAACCTTAACTGATATCAAGACCTGGCCACAAGTAGTCAGCTGGCTACAACCAGAGTGATAAGTCGGTGGTGTCGAGGAGGTCTTATCTGGCCGCAGCCAACTAATCTACAGTGACAAATATGTATACAGGCTGTCTCCCGCCGCTCGCAAGTCCCGCATGTTTACACTAAATTGACTATAGAGTTGTAACCAAACGCGCCGTACGAATAACATTTTAATATAAAATCTACAGATATACATACATGTTACAGGCATACATTGTACATAAACATCTGACAAGCGCGCATCTCTACCGCTACCCGCATTTCCAATTCATTACTACTCGTAACTACAATACAGATACGTTTTATTGTATTACTAATACATTTTGGTGCGCCATGGCACTTTACGTTAGAGTGAGCATCACTAACAACTATATTTATATATAAGCGACAAGTTCGATAATCTCCTGTACATCGTTCGATAAATACTACCGTTTACTCCCGCTACACTCCTACTTCGAGATCTAGTCGAAATGTCCACATAAAGTAATTAAAGAATGTCAATAACAAGATAAAAATAATTTACAATGTCATCAGTAAAACAGCATGGTAACTTTGTAGAATTGTGAATTAAAAATGTCGAAATATAAAAAATACAATGGTCAGTCCCACGAAAACTCTCGCCTTCGAGTCCCTAATCCTATTGGACGTTTTACCTTCTCAATAGACTATCACATAGTTCATGGGATACAATTTTGAGCAATTATATTACAGATAAAGTATTATAAAATAATTAAATCGCGTCAACGACGAGAGCGACGCGGTGTTGCTTCAAAACTTAACTTGACTTTGTGATACCAATGGCAAGTAACAAATCGATCACTCCAATTATATTATTAGTAACAAAGCGAATGAATTCGGCAAGCTAAATAAAACTTACATATTTATACAGAAAATACGAACATAGTTAAAATAAATAATTATTATTTAAAATTAAACAAAACATTAATTATACACATTATTATCTCATATATTACAGGGAATATTGAATTATGAAAGCGATTTACAATAGTTATATGTAGGTTGTACATAATACAACCATATTATTATTTGTATTGGCTGTATACAATATCTTTGTGTCGTTGTTGCTTATAAAGTTATAGTAATGGTTAGTTATTCACAAAGATGTTGTATGCAGCCACGACTGTTAGTTCAGGCGAGACAACGCTGCATTCAGTCACATTATCTTACAATATATTAGCTAACTATCCGAAATGCACGTAGATGCAGGAGTCTATAACAGAGCCTACACAGGGTTGTCGCGGCTGAACAAACAAACATTAATAAGTATATTACACGCGACGTAAGCTTTGTTGCGCTTACATCTAAATGACTTATGGCTACATCTCCAGTTGAAATGCCAACAGTCTGAGCAATCCGCGATGTTTTCATAAATTGCTGTTTATAAATATTTGTAAAAACATCGTAAATGCACAGTTCACACACATTCACACACACGCCACATCTATCACTTAACTACATTCATTAATATCTTAACAATCCTCACACAATACATTTTTATACTTGTTTGAGTAAATAATTTATTGCATGTGGACTTGTAACAAATTGTTTAGTGATCAACATAATTTCGGATTAAATGATATAAGTAGAATGTTATTAGAAATAAAATAAAACTTTCAAATGATCATGTTGATAGTGTTAATTACTCCGGGCCCGTCTTACAGTTTCTGTTTATGTTTACTAACAGGGGAAGTGAAGTTGACGTATTTCCAGTTTATCAAACGCGAGACAGACCCTTGACGTTGTTATGTTTACATTTAAATTGCTCATTAATCAAAGTAGTTTTGTAGATGTAAAGACATATTTACAAAGTCTTTCAGTCATCTCGATATTCTTGTACGTACTAATCATTACATACATGGCAGCGTGTCGTCCCTGCATGGTTCGCGCAATTTCCGTCATTACACCAACTTCAGCCCTGTCACAGGTCTTTCAGGAGAGCAGACTTCGCGTTCTTGAGTTTGTCGAGTCGCTTCGTCAGGTGGCTGTTCTCAGTCTCCAACTCCTCAACTCGGTTTAGCGCTTCCCGAGCCTGGAATTGGAATATAACTCTTAGTTTGTTGATATAGAGTTTATTTTTCGCACAAACGGGGTTGATAGCGTTATACACAATTTGTAGGCAAATCTTGACATTAATAGCGGTCGAGTTAAAGTGTATTATTATTTATATTTAACAACAGTTGTGTAAATGTGTAGTTCGACATATATCATGCGGTAGGGGTAAACCGGTATAGTATGTACAGTATTAGAAGAGAGTAGCGGTAGGCTGGCAGCAGCCGGGAGTGTGGGTATTATCGTGTGGCCGAGCGTTACGTTAGGGGCACACTCCGGGGGGTGCGACTGTACCGTTAACTGTCGCCATTATTGATAACGGCCCAGAAGTCAACGACTTCCTGAAAAGTTAAATCGTTTCATGTATATTTTATTTGGATCCTCGTGATGAGGTAGCGGCCCAGTATGTTACCTCTCGCTGCAGCTTGCGACGCTCCTGCTTGAGCAGCTCCTCGTGCTCGTCCTGATGGTCCTGGCGCGCGCGCAGACGGGCCAGCTGTGCCTCGAGGCGCGCCACGTGCGCGGCCTGCAAGGCGGCCTCGGCCTCGGCGCGCGCCGCGCGGCCCTTCGCCTCCGACACCGCCTTGCGGACTGTCTCCACTGCACACACCCAAATATGGACGTTACGAATAACCTACAAGTCCCTCGTAGGGAAACATCGCTTGCTTACTTTCACACCGGGTAAGTGATGTCCTTGGGCGGCGCTTATTCTTTACCATTAGAAGATACGTCACAGGTGACGTAATTGGAGCTTTTATAACTCTAAAAGCTAAGTAATATCAACGTCATCTACTTAATTTGTATGTTGTAGTAAAATTCTTTTTTTTTATATTTTTTTCCCGGATTTCTTTTACCCCACGTATATATACAAAAGTATAGTAATACTAACGTTCGTTCTCGTACTCCTGGTCGTGATGGTTGGAGACTCCGTTCTGCCTGGCGGCGCGTTCCTCGTTGAGCTGCAGTTTGAGCTTGCGTACCTCGGACTCCAGCGCCTGCTTCGAGCTCAGCAGCTTCTGCAACCGTACGTCTGCAACACAAACGTACAATTTGTTCATAGTATTAAATTACGATTAAGAAACCTTAAATAATATATCCCAGACATGAAATACAGAAGGTTTCTCGAAATTAACTTGATTAGGGGGGGAAAGATTATGTTGTTTAGAAGTAAAAGAACCTGATGTGAGTAATGCTATCAACCGCACGTATAACAATTAGTAACAGTAGAATTTGCCCTTCCATAGAAAAAAATATAAAGTTATGTAAGTATATAGGTACAATTATGACCGAGTGTTCGTTTCTTGAGATGTATCGTTTGTATAGTAATGAATGAAGAGATAGAGTACCGAGCGTGCCTTCCCCGGCGGTGTCGAGGAGTTGATGCGCGGCCTGCGTGAGCAGCGCGAGGGCGGGCACGGCGCCGACGGAGGCGCCGGGCGCGGCGGCGGCGGCGGCGGCGGCGGCGGCGGGCGCGTCCAGCGAGGCGGCGTCCACGAAGGCGAAGCCCGCGGCCGCCGCCGCCGCGTCCCGCGCCCGCACCGCGTCGCGCGCCGCGCTCAGCTCGCGGCTCACTGACTCGTGCTCCCGCTTCAGCCGCTCGAACGACGAGCATTTCTCTCTGTGCTCGCGCTGTTAACATTCACAATGGAATTTAAATGCTGCGCAAGAAAAATATAATTGAAGTTTGATTTGAGATTGGTAGTACTCAGTGGACTCAAGCAACGTGCGTGATGGTTTGGATGCCAAAAAACTGTATGTTTGACAGCACGTTTGGCGCGTTGATTGGATAATTGACGCGAAAAGTGTCGTGGTCTCGATTCCCGCACGGAACAACTCTTTGTGTGATCCACAAAATGTTATTCCGGGTCTGTGTGATATGCATGTGGAATGGAATATTTGTAAACCCACCTACGAGCCCACGACACACAGGAGAAAATTTTAAAGTAAATAATGTGTAGAGTGTATGTGAGATTTACTTAGGTAATTAGAATTTATAAAATAACCTAAGCTTGGCGCAAAACAGCTCTAAGAGCCCACACACCTGTAACTGGGCGTACTCCTCGTGCAGCTCCTCTATCCTGTCCTTGAGCAGCTCGAGCTGGTATCCGAGCGCCGCCTTGTCGTTGTCCAGCTGCGCGTTCAGGATCATCGCCTTGCGGAACTTCTCCTCCACTTCTTTCAACTCGTGCTGGAAATCACAATTTAGATTTAAAATTATCGAGCAGACAATAAAGATGCATAAAACTTTTTCTAGTTTGCTGATAGTGATCATCACAATTACTTTGAAACTCTTGAAATGTTGAAGTCCATATAATATTTTAAAATTATACATGAATTCTTGAGGAATGATGCAAGTCGCTTCCTTCCCATCGCAGGTTGACCAAGTTGCAGGTGCTCCCCATTGGGGGAGGCCCAGAGGGCATTTTGTGGTAAATATTATGATGATAAGTGCTACATACCCTAAGATCTTTGATGCTGAACCCATCGTCCATTGAGTCCTCGGAGCTGCGGCGAGGCGAGTGCACGGCGGGACTGAGGGACGCCAGCCGAGTACCGCCGCGACGACCCACTGACTCTGAAACATGATCCAATAACGTGGGTATAGTAGCGAAATGTACTCTTACAGTGGCATATGTATAAGACCGGCAAGATACATAAACATATAGAAGAAATTCAACTAAACTATACCTATTGCTGTAGTAAGATTATGGTGTCTAGGTCTAGTGCTTGACATTACTGTTATAAGGCAAAGAGACAAAAATTACTGATCGGGAATTAGGTTCTGTAGGTCCCAACGAGACTCCCATTATAATGGAATCGTTTATTAGGTATATTAGAGCGGAATATATGACCCTATACCTATAATATAATCCGTTACTTAACTACGTTACGTAACTTTTTAAGTAAATGTAACTTTATGTAAATAAAAAGCCCTAACCCTGGATAGATGGGGTGGAGATGATGACAAGCAGCCTGGAGGTGATAAAACTGCCAAGAACCGCGTTAAACAGAGAAATCTTGTATTTAAGGCAAATTTCCACTTTGATTCAATGAGTTATTAGAGTAAATTGAGTCACATCTCACCTGGTGTCTTCCCAGCGTACATATCATACGCTTTGTCTGCATGGTCCTCCTGTTCGCGCTGCTGGCGCTCCAGCTCACGCATGCGGATCTCGCGCGCCTCCGCCCTAGCCGCTCGCCGCGCTGCCAATCTTTGTTCCGCCTGAAATTAATAAGTACAATTTCAGAAGCTACTCAGATACAGTACTAAAAACTAAGATAATTGAAACAATGCTTCCCGATACACCATTTGGTGACATAAACATAAGTCTTGGTCTTGGATCTCCAAACGAAATAACTAACTAACCATCCGAAGGAATAAGAAAATATTTGGAACAGTAAAAGAAAAATTGGATGATATTATGATACCTAAGACTTTATTAACCACACTATATGATTTTAGATATATTATTTAGAAAATTGTGGATTTAAAAAAAGAAAATATTTTTATTATGTTCTTAGGTCAGTTCGCTCCCAGAGAGACTAGTGCCTAGTGGACGAAGTTAGACTAGATAAATACATACGTCGAAATTCAGATCATTAATGATTCACATATTCTTGGCAACAATGCTAAACTACAGGATTTCTTAATAGCCGATTAATAGATATAATAATATAATAACTATACTTCAAAGAGTTGCCAAGTCGGTGCGAAGAGGCTGCGATTGCGCAAATTGTGCTGTGGGCGGGACATCGAAAGTTTACGTGTCTTCAATTAGCGCACCGTTTAGAACAAACCTAACCAGAGTAGATGTATTAGTGATCTTAAAATTGATGACTTGAAATCAACAATCAAGGTATTTTGGTCCTTTCAGTGAATTCAAGCCGACAAAGGACCAGTTTGAAATATTAAATAGGTCGAAAAGACGGAATAATATCTCGAATAAAACTTGACTATTTACTTTAGGATATTTAAAAAATATCATTATTCACAATCACAAGAAGATTAAGAAAACGTATTCTAATCACAATTATCTAAAGTTGTACACAATTAAGTGCTTGTTTAGAACGCAATAATTAGAGTACTCCGACACGTAAATCTAGGTCGAATGGACGACGATGTTATACTTACAAACGTTTTATATTTTCAAACTCCAAAAGAATAAGACAAAAGACCTTTGAGATTCCTTTTGTTTAATTATGACACGCAACAATTGTTTACGAAAATCTGCAATGAATATGATATCATAGAAGAAACCCAACGACAGTGCCTTTAAAACTAAATATAGTTTGGTCACTGTAAATAAGGAGGTCTATTCTCAAGAACAAACGGCATGGACGGAGACTCAGTAGGATTTGGCGAGCGTATAACTGGGTAGTTTCCTAGGTCAAAAATAAATAAATTCGACGTTTCAATACAATAAAACATTGAAAAATAACTATACTTTTATTCATCGATTTGTCGATACACTAAGTTTTAGATATTTAGTAGCTAATTTTAAGAAATAAGTAAGCTATTTGACGCAAAAATAATATGACGTCATACCTCAGTTTTTCATACAAATTTCATAGAAAAGTATCGTTTTTGCCATTTGGATAAAAGTATTGAATTTGACTAGTTGGAAACTACCGTATTGTAATGGTGATCTAGCAAGGAAATAAATTGTAGACAATACGTATAAAAAAGGATCCATCTTTATGTAAACAACACTGAACTTGTATCTTACGAGGTCTATCTTATAATATATAAATGTGCTAGTGCTAATAAATGTCTTATGTCATACTTAATCTTAGAGAGGTGATGGAATAGAATGTCGGAAGAGAACGTTTAAGTACACGTCTCGTGAGGCGAGGAAGTAAACACTGCACGTCATTCAAACTGATGAAAAGATTAGCACGTCATGAGAGTTGATTAGTACACTTTAAGAAGTTACATTTTACTATCAAAATCACGTTAATAAAGGAAAAAGTTTATAGTTTTATTGCAAATCCATATAGGAATTGCAAAGATTTTGAATGTCAATCAGCATCTATAATAGATAAAAGAATAAAGGACTGACAATAAGGGGCTATGTGACTCAGAAGAAGAAATTCCCTTCTCGGTTTTTTGTTATGGTATAAGTCGGCAAACGAGCAGACGGATTACCTGATGGTAAGCAATCGGCGCCTTCCATGGACACCCGCAACACCAAAGAAGTTACGAGTGCGTTGCCGACCTTTTGGTGAATGGTAATAGGGGTTGCGTATATAAGGATTTGGAAGGGATAGGGAAAGGGAAGGGATTAGGCCTCCGGTAACCTAACTCACACTGTGAAACACAACACTGTGGGTTGTTTCACACCGGTATTCTGTGAGGCCGTGGTATCACTCCGGTCGAGCCGACCCATTCGTGCCGAAGCTTGGCCCTCCCACTATGGTTCCGATCTTATTAATTACTGTAAATTACATTGTTGCATTACAACACAGCTTCTTTTACCTATAGTATAGTTAGGTAAGTCTTCGGCTGGACGTGTCGTCATGCCTCAGTTCAATAAAAAAGGCACAAAGAAGTCAGCAATCAGAAAAAGCTTGGTTTTCTTTCACTATTACAATCTACCTTATTTATGATGGAGGACTGACAATGGTTTACAAACATCTTTTGCTATAAAAGCAACAAAATTATAGCAATTTAATTTGTTAAGATTAATCCAAACTTTGATAAATAAGATTTTTATACTAAGCCATAGTAACATAATGCTAGGTAATTACTATACTATTATACTATTATTATACACAATTAAATAAATACTTGTTATTAACAAGGACTTAAGATGTTAAAGTGACCTGCACGAGCTAGGTTTACTATTTATTATAATTTATTATTAACTGGACGAGGACGTTATAAAGCTAGCAAGCTAACTAGTGCGATAATTATACCGATGATGTCGTAAATCATAGAACAGGTGTGGGTGCGAGCGATGGGATGTATGATGCATCCCATCAAATAAAACTTAGGAAACGGAATGGGGGAAGTTCACGTGCATACGCATGAGACATGCTCGCCGCCTGGTTGACGTAGGTAGTTAGTTAGTTAGTTAGTTATAGACTAAAACATGATTCTATTGTTTATTCTTCGCAGATAATATAAAGAAAGAATTTATTTTAGTTAACTGCAAATTAAAAATTATGGTAGAGAATTTATCAATACTGCTCCATTGATATAATTGTAAACTAGAAGAAGTAATCAGGTACCGATTGTCTTATAATAATTAAACATGGTCCTTATTTACGCAGCTACATTTTAGCGAAAATTCACAAACTGTTTGCATAATGAATTCAAAATAAGTACAGCAATGATTACATATATTGGCGGACAAAGAGATATAATGTAAAAATTATGCGCCGTTGACGTCATACGTGCGGGCGCGAAGTTTGAAGTAACTGTAAAATGCGGGTGATGGGAAGTGGTGGCGTAACACAACAATGCGATAACATTACCCTTTCTAAGTTTACATCGCAATAAACTATTATTACAGCCTTATCTCGAGTCTTCCGACCAGACGGCATAGTGCATTCAACGAACTAAGATCATTGCTCCAAAAAATATAAGTTATAATAAATAGTCACTAATCAATTCTACGAGGCAGAAGATGAGAAAAACAAAACAAAGCCCTAAAACAAAGATATGAATCGGTTAATGTTCGGATCGATTACGAAATGAGCTCACCGGTCGGCCGGTGATAACGAAAAAATGCGATAAAACATAATATTCAGAACAATCGTCTCGAAAATCTTTTGAAAATTTTACACAAGATTCGTTATGGATTACGTCATAAGCCACTGCCATCAAATATTTACAATACAAATTATTCATTAAAACATGATTCACGCCACATGGCAGTAAGTAAATAAAATGTGAAGTTTGTGGCGGTGACATCATCCTTCAACACAATGCTTTAAGGACACGAAGGTCATTCCCCAGAGCCGCCGGTCCTTGTGGACACGTGGACGCGACAATTGATGGAGACATCATACCAAAAGAGGACCACATATTTGAAGAATCGAATTTAAACGGTACCTAAAGACAGTGTTTGTCCGAATTAATATAAAATAAATTCATGAGGCCTAATCCGTTATAAAGCAATTAACAAATTGTCAATAGATACAACAGCAGCTATTGACAAGCAAGGATAAACAGAAGTGTTCCAGTTAAAGGGCGATAATCTCGAGCGGCAGGTCGCCCGTCACTAATGTTTACTAATCCGGCGACATTTTTATTGCCAATGCACTTCAAACTGATTCAAAGATAAAGCTTCTACGGTTCCATTCTATTTATCTCTAATAGCCTATTACAGAGTCGTTATACACGTTTGATTTGAACAACAAAAGAGCGATGTAATACTGGCTAAAGACTATTTAATTGAAAATCATTTAGTTCATTTGAAACATGGTATTAATTTCCAGTAGCTGTTTGCGCAACCTGTTCACACTAACGTATTGCACACTTGAGTCGTTTAGTCTTTTCATAGTTAGAACAAGTAATGTCAGAAAAAATAAATATACATAAATATGTGTTGTTAGAGAGAAACGCGCCTCGTTATGTCTGCTATGGAACTTCGGAACCAATTCGGAATATTTCTTTGTAATTACAACACAGTCATTTGAGTGTGAAGAATAGTTGTCGGTGTTGTCACACTTGAGAAGACAACGAGTGAACAGAGTGTGACAATCATCAGTGTTGCTTAGCTTAACGTTAATTGTTTTTATTGTCATACAAATATCACTTAAGGATGGAGCGAACAACGAGCGAGCACACTTTACATACATATGTATTGCTTGTTAGTACAGGACGGCGCACGTGTTGAATGAAAACATCCCAGTTATTAAATCCAATACATACAACATACATAGTCGATGACACACTAAGTTTAAACTTTAAAGTTGAAATAAACATCTATGCGGATAAATATTTCACACGTTCCACGCGATTAATTTACAGCAAACACACACAAAAAGGCAAGTTTGTGATAAACTTATATCGTTATAAATTTTTCTGAGGTGGTTTGATGACGATTTGATGATAAAGGACGTAAATGACAATAGGTATTATTATGACATTTGTGGTTGACCAAACAGTCAAAAGATCTCCGTAGGTAACGCTTTTTAATTTAGTATTAATGCAGAGCACTTACATAGAGAATTAGAATTCGAGTGGCAATACATAATAAAAACTGCAACGGCGACATGGCGAGGCTAAGACTGCCGTCATCAAGTCACCAGGCGTGACAGCACCATCGCACTAGCGACTACAGCTGTTGTCACGTGTTTACTCACTATTGTAATAAACTTCAAGTACGTACTTATTACATTTAGTACGTCACAAACTTGAGGAAGATGTAAGAAACAATTTGTATTATATGTGAACATCCTATTCCAACAATAGTAATTTTCTTTAGAGGTGAAAAGGTGACTTACATAAAGGAGCAAGAGTTTGCAGGCGAGTGCTAACAAGCTCTCCGGAAACGTCATATCGATGCAATCTAACAGCACGAGGTCATCTCACCGCAGCACCGCCACTAATATGAACATACTACAGCTCTAACCTGACCACTAAAGTATCGCAACAATACAAATCACACAGTCACGACATTACTGTGATTTAAAAGGCACTAAATGAAGCAACTTATACTTATTTTCCACCGTACTTGATGGTAGCTGAACAGAACTGTTTACCTGAGACAATTTTTTATTTGGCTACGACCTTCAATTCACTCCGAACGTAGTGAAATATAGTGAGATAAGATAATCCTCACCTAGGCGCGGTTGCTACTAATAACTAAATTAACATTTAAATTATTACAAGGCGTACGTTCGTATGGTAAGCAAAGGCGAAGGCTATCATACGCAGGTTGACGTGACTCACCTGCAAATGGTTTTGGGAAACGGAAAATATTTCGGATGTAGCATGACACAGCCAACAATTCAAAGAAGGATATGCTATGAATTCGACGCAGTATTAGCTATACGTACATGGTTCTGCTGATCGCCGAGAATGCCAACGATTGAAGGATTTTGTTCGCCGTGAGAATCTCTGCGCAAATCTGATAACACTAAGTTTTGGCTGTCCACGTCACTTGAGTGAGTTGAGTGAGCTTCACTGTTTTTACGACCATTCATTCGGATCTGCTCATCGACGCCGCCATTAGTGTGCCCATTAGTAGCAGCATTGTTCTGAACACCATCATTCACCGTTTCGTTGATCGGCATATGCGCAGGCTTAGCATCAGTATGGCGTTCAATTATCGTTTCTTCTTCGGAGTCACCAAAGTCACCATCAGTGAATGCGTCTCCGCTCTCCTCGTCAGTATTGTCAGGTGTAGCCACTTCCGAGCGTTGTCCCATGATGAATGACACTGTTTACCGGCAACTATTGTTGCACTTATTCGTAGAAAATAAACAAACGGTGTTCCGGCACTGTTTTCAAATTCTCATATGCGTCAACAAATGTTACGTGTGCGCAGGCGACTAGATTGCAGCATCGTCTCTGCCGCTTGAATAGAAAGGAAGGACGCAATTTTTGCACTGCTCTTCTCGAACTGCACCCTAGCGCGACTCGCGATAACATTTATTGTCGAGGTATAGCTTTATCTTATCGTCGATGTTTTCCACTTTATTAAACGCTCCTTGACCAACATTCTTTATTTTAACGTCAACAAAATGTATTATGATATTTGGAGAATTGTTTCTTTAAAAGCACTTGTCTATGACAATGATTGTTTGTGTGTGTTTATGATTATTATTAGTGAACAATAGTATTGAGTCATTGAGAGTATGTGAGTTTCGCGCGCGATCGAGTTTATAATTGTCTCGTTAGGGCAACACCAGTACGCGTGTGGTTGCGGCGACGGCTGCGACTGACTGCGAGTGACCGCCATACTTGGCCTGTACGTCACACGTACTGTAATTTATCGCTTTCATACGTTTACTAGGGAATAAAAGAGATTCGGGAGAGAGGGTAACTACGTTTAGCGAGAAGCAGTTTAAGAAAACTACTGAGTAACACATATTTAATTTTAGTTCCTAACCCATCGATGTGAGGCCAGAGACGGTTTCAGATTTATTGATGATTTCTAAATATATTTTACAGTTCTTTTTGGCCTAAAATTATTGTAATATATTGAATTTCTACAATAGATTGACCGCAATTGCATTTATCCGGTGCACTAATGAATAACTGCACGAGGCGATATATCCTGTCTCCACGTGAGTAGCGCACTGATTAATTAGACATTGTGTTTTGGTCAGGTGTATACATATATTTAATAAAGAAATAAAAACATTTGTAATGACGTTTTTTCCGGTCAGCTATAAAATACAATGCCAGTATTCAAAGCATTTTTTTAATATGCCTTTAGGGAAGGTCATTTTATGAATAAATATATTTTGTAGGTATTATGACTCGTGTGAGAGAGACCACAGCGTTATTAGTGTTACTACACGAAATATTTAAAATAATATACATTTGATTGGTTAACCTGACAGATGTAATAAACAATAAAAATACAATTGTTATAATAGTGACATTGAATATTGAATTATCACAGGAAAACATGTTACATACGACATATAACATAGTATGGGCAGATAAGGGATAACAAATATTATGTCATATTTATTTTTAAAGAGGAAATATTAGCTAACATCTGCTCTACTGGCTCACTTATGTGGCTATTGGCGCGGGTCGTAGCAACCGATGATTCCCATAAATTTATTTCTTTAACTAACGAGCCTAGCAATATTAGCTGTAGCCTCCTGTTATTAGCTTTAAGTCTTGAGATAATTCAAAAGGTAAAGGAAAACTTGCACCTGAATTGTTTTTTAATTAATATTTTGTAACAAATTCAATAGGATCAATTATACCATAATTTAATACAAGACCAGCTATAAAACCGCGAGTTCCTGATAAAAATAACATATTTAGAAGAAAATAAAAACTTATTAAGCAATACAGAGTCACTCACTCATTCTGTTTCGCAAACGTTTAATTAGCAATACTGGAAGTTTAAAAACACTAGTGACTATCAAGTCAATAATCTTTGAAGCGAATCGCTTTGTTTTATTTTTATAAAAACTGTCAGTTTCGGTTTCAAGGAAACAAAACCTTTTTGGGATTATGATGTAACACACATGTAAAAGGATTATTTCATAAAATGAAGTATCTATGAACTATAGAGCAGGCATCTACTGGCAAAAAAATAAAATAAATAAAAGGTCGAGTCAAGTTATACAACGAAGGGCGGGTCCGATTAAATCAGTTTCGATTTTCGATTTCTATTGGCATAGCATCAAGTTTACGTGAGCAATAAATATGCTAGTTAAGCTGTTGGTTAAACCTGTGCTTATTACGTTAGATCACGCTATTACAGATCTAGACGCACTAGGCGCAGTTTTATAGTGCATTAACATTACGTGGTTAAGAAGTGATTGCAATTGATCGAAGATAGCAATTTACAGTGAAATCTTATTATTTTTTCCTGAGTTTATAACCTATTTGGATTGGGGAAATATACTACATAATTTAGGGACATAGAAGAGGCTTTTGTCCAGCATTACCTCTATAAGCTGTTGGTGGAAGATTCATTCTGTTTGCCAGTACCAGCACTCACAATACCGTGTATCTTTTTCTAATAACGTAAGTTAAAAACAGCCAGTGACGTTGCCAATTCAGCCAGCTTGTAAAGTGCAGTCTCTATTTCATTAGTAGAGGTTGTTAGTCAATAATAGTTTCGAATCGTCATGCAATTTTTATTTTATAGTTTCGTAGCAAAACTGTTAAGGTCAAATGTTTAAGGTCTCCGAATAAAGGTTACATTTGTTATGGCATTGATCTAAACACGTTTTTTAATTTACACAAATAGAAGAAAAACATATCTAATTATTATGAGTTTTAAATAAAAGGGGCACCATAAAATATTAGGACCAGATTTTCTGGTCCTTCGATACATTTAATTTAATTGAGTAGATAAGGACCACATTTTTTCTGGTCCATAATTTTGCTGTCTGTCAGTATATTTATACAAGTATATTATAGTATGTGATGTGCGTTAGTAGACTTGCTCTCTATTCTCGGTCACACAGAGGACCTCAGACAAAGCTGCAAGGACGTCACGGCTACTTTATCTGACACAATACCCTGGACATCTATTAATATGCTCCAAAACACATATCTAGTGCACCTTAACTCAAACTCTTAAGGTACATTTTAAAACAAATGTACAAAAATGTTGACAATAGAGGATGTGGAAGATGAAAATCGACAATATGTGAATATATTCATAATTATCTTCAAGGATTTGAGTCAAGAGGATAAAGACTCGTTTAAAAAATTTAACGGCCGAAAAGTTTATGTACTGTAGTATATCAATGTTCTAATTTAATCCTGACACCTAGCTATAGATACAAAAACCTACAACTTATGCAGTAAGCAAATTATGAATCAGAAAATCCTAAGGAAATTATCCTAAAATTAAGAAATATTTAATTGTGATAAAATGTATGATTCCATTAACCCTAATACCATCGTAATTAATGTATCTACTGTTCTTAATAATTAACGCTCACAAATCATTAGGAATCGTCACATTCATCATTATGTAAGACTTTCAATTCCACAATACGATAACACGAATAAATTACAACGTTACTTATAAGAGATATATTGATGCTATTGGCTTTGATTATGTCCAATCATAAATCATAATAAAAAATCGGTAGAAAGGTGTCAATAACCCAGACGAGGACAACACTTATTTCGTTCTAGATTGTTTAAATACAAGTTTGATAGTAAGAATGTAGGTAACGCGCACTTATCGATAGAACGCACTAAACCGAAGCACAAACCGACAAGCACTGATTGACGAGCGGTTGTCGAACACACGGACCGACAGATGTATGGAACGGACGCAAAAACTGCGCAAACGCAACTTGACCGCACGCGGGAAAAATAATTGAGATAGTTGGTGCCACGCGACTGTCGCAGAGAGCTACGTAAAAACTGATTGCGGACGATTAACTGTTAGGATATCGAACGGGATCGATGGACGGCGAGGTGCGCACGCGACGGTACGCGGACGTAAATATCGTGACATTTGCGACGCATCTGCTGCCACGAAACCGTCGCCAACGCACGTGAGATGCGCTTTCGTAATAGCAAAGGTGAATGATCGATGTCGCCACCATATTTATTGACGACGGTCAAACGATATTCGCTGATATTGATATTATTTTAATAAATCGCGACCCGACATTGAACTGTATCGTCACCGGCTAATCTAAAAGATTAATTTATAGGGTGAAATACAAGATATTAAAACGCTTTGATTTTATCGATAATATTTAAAGAAGACACGCGTACTCATTAACGTTAACGATTATATCGCTCTAAATCAAAAGAAACGTTGAGGGGAGTTTGACGAGACGAATATATTTTTAGAATTACATATTTAAGTGTCCTGTGTGATTCATGAGCCAGGCGCTTGTGTAGTGGTTGTGGGGACCACACGCGGCCGACGACGCCTTTATTGCAACAAAGCTATATACCACGACTTGCAACAAATCGCCTCTTATTATGCAAAATTTTTGCTTTCACCGCACTTAGTGGACCAGTCATCATTCTTTGTACTGTATCTGCAAATAATAAAGTTCCTTGTGCAGTTGCCGTTAAGTTTAGTTTTATTATAAGCCGGTTTTATTAATTGTGCTTATCCTTACCAGATGTTGTAATACTTCCAGTATGTGTTGCTGCAAATCCGTTTGCATTTTTAATTAAATTATTTTAATGAGTTTGCCTCATTACCGCATTCTTTGTTAGTTTACAGACTGTTCAAAATTAGGTACGATAATAATAAACCTTTACTTAAATACTGAAAACTGATTGTATTTTTAAGTACATGTTTTGACTTTAAGAAGAGACAAGCTAATGATGTATGTGAATTTTAATTTAAAATAGTTTCGAAATACTCACTACTTTAGGTCTAACGAGACAGACAATCGATCGAGCCGACGAGTCCTCATCGCTGCTGCTCTCTAGACAGTCAGACAGAGATGGCGAGCGCTGTGGCGGCCATGATTTCGGAGCCTTCTCAGAGTTGGGCGAGGGTAAAACCAGCGGTGGTGGCAACCATGTACCCTGGCCGCGCCACCACGACACCAGTGCCGGCGCAACACCCACTACCATTGCCAGCCCCAACCGTACCATAATGCCGAGTGACAGTACCAGACAACACACGGAACAATAATAAAAGTTTCACAATAACATAGCCTTGCCGACGCACTAGGAAGTGCCTGGCGCTCGCCTAGCGCATTGTTCTTAAATAAAAACTTCTATTTTAGATGGATGCAGTCTCACACACTTTCACACATGCAATGTGTCACCAAACCGGCGAGCGGACGACACGGATTATCCATCAACGATCTGTCAGCGACAGTCGTAACATCACACGTGCGCCCAAACTATAAGATAATATTCCACATAAACATGATTAACTAAGCCGCTTCACGTGCCAAATGCCAGGGACTCCGGCGCTTACACGACACAACCGTCACAAAACGCATCATGCCAAACGAGTGAGTGTCCGCAATCCACGAGTTAATTGTCCTAGACGACCGGCGATTGGCACTCGAACACCCCGAACAATTGAACACGCGCGGTTTTGAACGCTTTGTGAAACTGTTGAAAATGTCGAAAGTTGAAAGTTGAATCGACCGGGTGCAGCACGGGACGGTGTTCCCTCACGCTCGCAGACAGACGAGTGGCGGTCGTTGACGCTGAAGCCCCCCTCCGCCGTGCCGCCCAGATGCCCCTCCAGCCGCCCGCCCAAAGGACCAACCCCCCTAGCCTTACATGCAAGAGAATGTCGCGCGAATTGAATACTCGCTGAAAGGGCTTCTTTGAAATGAGTATGGGAGCTGCACACGTTTTTGTTTATTTTTATATTACCGCCAAGATTCCGTAGCGTAGCACAAAATGATTGACTGCCAGTACCGTTAGCGCAATCTGGTGTCGTAAACTAGGTCAGGCATGTATGCAATACTCGTAATAGTCAATAAACCATTTGGTCAGAAACGTTGTAACTGCATAAAACAACGCTGTAAAAACGACTTTATGGAATTATTACATAAACAAGGCATTCAAAATAGAATTTTTAAACTATGAACGAAGAAAAATCAAGTCTGTAAAGTTGGTTTCATAATAACTACGTACTTCCTTTGCAAAGTAGACTGCAAATGCAATAATTACGATTGAATATTTATGATACAATCAGTGGTATGTACTTAATATTTCAGATCTCTACACCTCAATGATAATATGATCTGCAACGCGTGTGTGCGTGTTTAACAACAGAATTATATGAAAATCCTTGTATAAACGTAATTGCATTTGCATGGTAGAAAACAGGATTGGTGGGGAGGCGGGACTGCAGCAGGATCGATACATACAACGTAATATGAATTTAACTCAGGATATGGATAAACAGACCGGATTCAGGTAGAGACTGTTATACAGTCAGTAGCAAAATAATAAATACGTGATATTTAGAACTAGGATTTTTAATCTGCGTTAAAACCTTTGCAAAAATGTGAAACCCAATAAGTAGGCAGATTGCATCAGCCGGTTGGAGGCAGAGGGGGATGGAGCGCAGACAGATCGATGCTGCTACTGACGTCAGCAAAACCCAGACTGGGGGCGGGTAGACATAAAACCCATATATACTGAAGCTAAAATCTCGAAATTGTCACTGACTAGATATTTATTCATGTCTCGCCCAATAAAAAGGATGTCTAATGATGTATATCCAGACATTCCCACATACAAGTATCTACTGAAGTACTTGGTATTTAGTTTCTGCGTAAGCACAAGCCATTTATTTCAATAATTTAAAGAAACAAGGATAAGGTATGGATGGTAGCATATAATAATCTGCGTGATTCCTTAATATTGCACTATATCCCTTTGCTTTCTTCTCTAGTTAGCTTTGGTTGCGGTTGATGATATACTTGAATTCGCAGAAAGAATAAACATCTGTCCTGGTGCGCCAATGTCGGAAAATTGGTTACGTAATAACGAGGTGAAAAATTAATGATTATAATATGCAAACCGAGAACGCAGAAGGTCGAAACAAGACTATACAACGTAATAGATATGCATAAAGACTTGCAGAAATTTTGAAAACCATTTGCATAATCTTAACACATTCAAAACGTTACTGGACAATAGGATTAAACATCTAGAATTTGACAACAAAAGGAAAACCTGGCGACCTTGTTTAGAAGAACATTTAAATGAAACATACTCGAAGGCTTGGTGGCTATTCTAAGTATTAGTTCATTGATCTCAATACGATTCTTCATGAAGACCGTGTACGCGTGACGATGAATACTATAAAAGTAAGATAACTGCAACCCAGCTGCCAACTAGAGCGACCTTAAACGATTCTATATATTCACATAACTTATGAATACCTACAACCTTTCATTTATTTTAAAAATTCTAACCGGGACGGAGTTTTTAAGTCTTAAATTACACTTCGTCACAATATTCATACAAGATCTTGAGACATGTAAACGTTTTTTCCGTTCCGTTTTTATGTATATGCAGAGGCTGCAACGGTCCTTACATAACACAACCAGGAGGAGGGTAGGCCGTGTCCGCGAGGCTGTATGGAAGTGGGACGCCGGATCGATCAGGCACAGGGCGACGAACCCAACAACCTGGTACCAGCTGACCTATATTTACTATTCCCGCATTACATTAACAACTCTCAATATAATATATCAAGAGCCAATTTCCAATAACAAAACGATTAAAATGCAAACTTTTATAGCAGTCTTTTGCTAAATTTCTAAATTGGAAAGTCTGAATTGGTTTTGGTTGCGTCTGATCCACTTCTAAATTGCTTGTTCATGTCACTTTCGAAAGAACAAAAACTTGAATACCATTTAAAACCCGATAAGGGTTAAATTAAAAGTATTTAATGGCGATGTTAATTACTATAATCAATAACAAGTTGCGAAAACGTATTTGCAAAACGCTATCATCTATGCTGTTTTTCTAAACTAGGAAATAAATAATCCTTTAAAAGGACAGAATCCATTTATTGGTTGTCATTTAGATATACTATTAATTTCCGTTCCGTTGATGGTAATAAAAAGAAAAAGTGTGTATGGTGTATGTTTTTATTAAAGTGTACATAATTTTATCCAATAAAGGCGTCAAATAGTATGTTACGAAAACTCGGTTGCCATTAAAAAAAGAAAAAAAAATGTTATTATAAATATAAAATAAGTCTACATTGAACGTTTATAAAATTGGAAAAGGAATTCAACTATTGGTACAGGCCATTCGTTTATTGAATGGCCGACAGTCGAGAATCCCAATTTAAATAACTGTCATCTCTGCTCATTAAGATAAAAACTACCATAAGCAAACTTATTGTACGTTAAACATAAAATTAATATTTTTGGTCCTTCCGAAAAATAAATTCTAATATCCAACTTGTCTAACTAATGATAATGATTCTTGTTTCTCTCAAGTACTTAATCTAGCGTACGGCGGATTATAGCGGATGCCATAGGAAACGTTGCAGCACGACCACTAGGTCAGTTGCTTCCGTAAACTAACGGCTCAGTTGGCGCGTGGCGTACTTATCTCGTTGCATTTTCATTCACCAGCCTCTTTGCATGGTGCGCGGTAACCGATCCTGTTTCCACACCAAGCCTTTCATTTCATTTAAAATGCTTGGAGTAACAAGTTCTTTTACTTCACCTAAAACTTTCATTAAAGTAATGCTGTTCTAGATTTCTATAAAATTACTTTTAAGTGTAGCTTTGAGGTCGTATCAGCGGGTCATCTGAGGCCGTAGGTTCAAATCCTACTTTCATATGATTTGGACGAATACTGTCGTCTACACCTTGATTTTCGTTAATCCAAAAAGTTAATTATACGTAATTTTGAAGTCTCGCAACATACCATTTCTATCTTCAAAGGAGTTGCTTTAATATGAAATTTGAATGGGACTGTATTAACAAGGCTCCATAAACAAATAGTTTGCATACCGAATTTAACTGAAACAACGCATAAATATCAATAGCAGTCTACCAACCTAACAAATCAATATTAAAATAGCTGACAACGTTACGATCAATCACTCCTAACTGCGATACACCGACCGACATTCCAATCTTGAAATGAATCAAAATTCGTTATGCTGGACTCTTTAAGAAATAGGGGAAAATATCGATGTTTCCGCAGTCAGCCTACTTCCTTAACCATTAATCATATAATTCTGCAGTAACCTTTAGAGGGACTTGGCAAAATAATATACAGCGATATCTGTGATGATTATACTTTTCCACAGATATTCTTTCATGTGAGAAGACAGCCGACGAACTGATGTATTACCTGATGGTAAACAATTGGTGCCACGCATGGATACCTGCAACACCAGTGGAGTTACAAGTGCGTGGCCAGCCCTTTTGGGAATAGGGTTTCAGAGATTTAGGATTTGGGGTGACGTGTAGATTTAGATAACCAAATACTACTAGTTTAGACTATTCATAGTGTACCATTAACCAATTTTCCAAGGATCAAGTCAACCAAAGGTCACAAGTACGACGAATAGAGATAAATTAAAGAAATATGGCGCAAAAAGACTGACAAAAGAATCATCTTGTATATTTCTATTCTCAAAGATTAGTATTCCAGACGATTGTATGACGCATTTCATTCAGAAAGGAAGACATTAAAGACAATTAAGATCATCGACTGCAAAACTGAAACGAGTGACCACATCAATGTTATGGAAGCAGTTCATTTATAGGAACATTCCTGGGAGTTAGTGACCGCAATTAGCTGCAGTAGCTAGACAGTCACTTGCAGACGATGCACTAGTTAATGTCACGAAGGGTCCCGACACCCGTACTCCGAATATTCGTAAATAGCGCGAGCGGCCGGGCCGCATACATCTATTTCGGCCGCGCGTCGTTTTGTTTCGCACCGCGTACCAATGCATGCTGTATGCGCTTACGCACAAATATATTCACGTCATCGCTTAGGGATGGTAAAAATAAATTAAAAGAAAATATAAAAATAACTTCGTCTACTTTATCAATTCCTGTAAGTATTAAAAAAAAGATACCGCCTGAAATAGAGGTCCTCACCGAATTAGTGAACTAAGGAGAAGTCAAGTTATTGATCTTCCTATATTTCACACTCTTATGTCGTGAACAAGGTAAATATTTGTTTGCATAGTCTACCTAGTTTTAGTTTGTTATTTGAATTGTTGAACAAACCTTGTAGTTTTTATCTTATTTCAGCACAGTATAAATAGTTTCTAGATTTTCTGAACTATGATCAAAGTACCTAACAAATAATAAAGAGGCCACTTAAAATGTGATATAGTTTTCGTAACATATTAAAACATATTACACCACATTTCCCTACACAGGATTTTCTCTTGTGTAGCGGGTGCGTTTAATAACATACAAAGCCACATAAACAACACGCCCAGACCAGGAAAAAACCATTTGTTGATCACCCAAAGCATGCGAAGTGGTGGACAGTGGTCCAGCCATCGTGGCCAACGGTGCAGAGTGAACAAAGAGGATTGTATCAATAGAACGCGGGTTCAAGTAAAACAAGCATTTGGGAAAGGCGGTCCTGTGTATATTTCCATTACAAAATAATATACAATTTGCTTCATTACATTATATAAAATAGAACATTATTATTTAGGTAAAGATAGGAACAAAAGCCCCAGTTCATAAATTAAATAATGAGGCTTTTAGGAAGGTAAGGGTCCCAATTGTTTTAACGATTTCTGATATATTAGGAGAGAGAAACGAGACTATTCTCCCTCTGTCCTCTAATAGAATACTTCTCACATAAATAAATGGAAAGTGGAGCTTGAAAAATCCATTTACAATTTTCAATAACTAACCGAGTGTCAACCCTATCTTACTCACAGCTCATAAAGCAATAATCATCGGATTGTATGGATCCCGATTCAGTTGATCAGCTCAATGGTATTTCGCGCATTTTTATTCAGTTTGAAAATGTTTTTACTAGATCAACAGATAACGGAAGTAGGCATAATTTATAGTTTTAATAATATTGTTGAATACTGACCGCATACAATGTCTTACTTTATACGACTCTGTCTGTATAGTTTAGAGGAATGTAAACAGTGTGATTAATTTCTGTAGTTTGCGAGTTGTCTACATATATGAATAAAGCGTAATTCCAAGCTTTCAACAGCCAAATATTGCTTTTGTGCAAAGTGTAGAGTACTGAATTGTTTATCTAGATATGTTTTGTCTACTTTTTCATCTATTATCTATGCTTGACATTAAAATATAATGATACGGAATTGTATAATATCCCAATTATTTTTGAATATTAACGACCTATCGTAAAACAGTAAATTAATTGAAAACAGCGATTTACTCACTTGAATTAAATAAGAAAAGCTCTACTAGTTTCAAGTGTGTTTCACATTCTCAATTATTTCGCTATCATTTATGAAATATAAAGGTAGAATAAAACATATTATGTTATAACCTTTATGATAGATAGTAATGAGAAGCGACATCGTTGCAGTGATCCGGTACTGCCGGTAGGCGCGGTGCACGCGGAAGTCTATTTCGATCGCGACTTATTTTACTACCACCATTAACAGGTGGCAAATTACACACTGCTACGACCATGCAATAATCTTATACAAAATCTAGACAAATATTTTTTTAAACAAAACTTTTGTTGTTTATTTGTTTTCTTTTGCCTTAAATGAGGTCTGAGGCTAAGAGATCAGTACAAGAGAAATCCAAATACTAAGTGGGCGAAACCGCAGGCGGTACCTAAGCTAGTTATAAATAAAAAGTAGAGCTTTATACCTAGACTTGAGCTAAATAAGATGTAGAATTTTGAACGAAGTCTAATACTAAACTTCTAGGTCAGCTTTAACATAACGGTATTTTAATTTGAAAATATATAAATACAGGCTGTTTTTAGCCAGATATCTAATTATTTTATTAACTGCCTCGTGGTTGTAATAGCGACTTTATTCGATCCCGGATAGGGTAGAATATTGCATTGCATTTTTATGAAGGCATCCAGATTACGATGACACCCTCACCGTTGATCCGGTACTTCACAGGGCTCATACTTGGAAAATATTTACCTTACTCAAGGTCTCTATCAAAATTATTATAAATATAAGAAAATGATGGGTGAATTAAAACCTACAACAAATTGTTACCAAAATATGTTGTTAAAAAATCAGGCCGTAATTGGGTAGTTTCCTGGGTCAAAAATAAATTAATTCGACATTTTAATACAATGAAATATCGAAACATAACTATACTTTTATTCATCGATCGATTGATACACAAAATTTTCAAGCTAAATTTTAAGAAAGAAGTACTCAGTTTTTCATAGAAAAGTATCGTTTTTGACATTTGGATAAAGTATTGAATTTGATTAGTTGGAAACTACCGTATTATAATAAGCCCAACGACAATACCAATACATAGGTATTTTATCCAAGAGTAACACGCATTTGGCACACCGGGCGGTCTTTTGGTCCATCGTGTGCGATACGACTCGTCTGCCAGTCAACAAAGTGGATTATATTCGACGGGCGACACAGGTGAGAGGAAAATTACAAAATAATATTCTCAACGTACAAAATTAATCGTCTTACTAATACTAAGTACTCCGCGTCAAGTGTCCGTGTTATCTGTGCCCTTATCTCTGTGCTATCATAAGTGGTTTTGTATTTATTTGTTCTTGTGATTGGCATTTCTACAATATACTGCAGCATTTTTTTAGAGTGACATGGACATGTGTGCTTGACATGAAGTGTCGTGTTTATATAAGGTTATAAAATGGTGTGTAAAATCATAATAAAATGATTACAAACGTAAGTAATAACTCTTGTTGCCATCTATGAACAAAACACAAATACCTTGAAATTCATTAATAAAAGTGTTCGATGACACGCTAGGGCCATCTGTCGAGAAGTTTAGGAAGTTATTTAGTTTAAAATTAAAGCAATAACGTGTATGTTTCTCGTAATGAATTAATGCAAATAGTTTTAATATGTTTCACCTCTAGACGTGAGCACCTGAGGCTTAGCCACTTGACTAATTGGCTCAAAGAGTTCACATTCTTGTCAAAAGGATTAATCAGTCACATGGCGCACATGTCCATAATATGATTATCTTGTCCACTTGTTGGTAATACTAATCCGTTTAGTAGTAACATTGAAAAGTTTAAAGAATTTAAATATTTGTAATCTTATACCATAACAGTAAAACCAAAGAGTGTGTAGTTCGGCTTTTCAGCTATGGACTGTTACAATTACAGACAGACAGAAAAAACAGTAAATTTAAAACCTAGATAAAATTGGCATAGTGATACGAATTTAAATAATTGTAATTGTAGTGGTACGAAAACTTGTGTAGGGACTCGATATTTTTATTGGAACTGCTCTTTGTGTGATTCTATGTTACCTCTTTAGAACCTAGCAATGCTGAGAATAGTCTTTTAAGTTTTTAACCCAATGTCGCTATATTATTATGTTATTAATGTGGTACTGCTCACCTCTCTTGCTATCTGATCGAGGGCCTGCTCCTCCGCCGTGGCCTTCGTCTGCGTGCGCTGACGCCGCGACGGATCCATCCCGCACAACACACTTCACACTCTGCGCACAAACATTTAATATTGTTAATTTATTTGCAATTTTAAACTAATTGTGATTATCCTGGTTTTAGGTTTACAAACAAGGATATAGGTACATTTTGCTTATATGGCTAACAGTTCTAAAAATAATATTTAAGTACTACCAATAAGGATTTAAATAATGAAATGACAAATACTAATTTCAAATATACCTAATTTTACACACTTTCGGAAACTATAAACAGCATTTCTGATTTTATTTACTTTGTCTAAAACAACACATGTTTTAAATAATGTATAATAGCATAAATCCTGTTTAGAATTTGATTTTTATTTTTTTTCCTTTGGTTTACGATAAGCATATCTTGTTTTTGGTAATAGTATGAAAAATGCATCATAGCATTGTTTGCATGTAGACACTACCTACATAGGCTAGAGGCAAGCCAATTCTATTATTAATCAAATTAAGAGTGCAATAAAAAAAAGCTCTCCTTTTATCTGTCTGAGAATTGACCATTACACAGAATTAACTCACAAAATTCACTACTTAGTCTATTTTATCAAAGAAAAGCCAGCACAAACAATTTTTATGATACAACAAAATATTAATTTAATTTGTAATGGCATGCAAGTGATAAGCAAATGTGTGCATGTTGTGTGACCTTGGATTATTGTATGGAGGCAACAACAATGTGTCAGATGCATGTTATCATTAACTCCAACAAGGTTATCATTTGTGGAGTATTGTTATGCTACTGTTTTAATTACTCATTATTACCTCCTTACAAGAAGCTCTGTGCTACTTTCAAACATTGTATGTTCTTTACTTTGTTTTGTTCTGTTAATGCAGTTGTATACTGCATCTAACTTTAAGCTATTGTAAAATCTTTGTACTTTGTATGAAGATAATTTGATATTCCTATCAGATTTTATTTATTTCTTTATGTCTAGTTGAAACATATTTATATCTAATAAGCAATAACAACCATAATACCAATGCTTCTATCAAATATTTTTGGTTTTAATACTAGAAGCAACAACAACTTGTTACCTTGTGCTACAAACAAATATGTGATATTGTACCAACTGATAAGATTAATGTGTTTACAAATATAAGATACTTACAGGACTAGAGTTTAATATGTAGAGACACAATGGTAATACAAAAACATCAGTGTGAATAACACTAAAGAGATGTAACACATGCAGTGTAACCACTGACCCAGTGGAAGTTCCCAACTAATTCTATTTATATGAAAACCTTACTGTGTTGACACAATTTTATAAATATTGTTACACTCATCAGTCACATAATGTATTATTTTGTGCAATACAATAGTCGAGCACGTATTTTGGATCCAATATTCATAAACAGAGAAGCCACTTGCTGACCACAGTCACAAATTAATTAACATAAATTTAGAAACAGGTTGTCTATAACCTAAGGGGTTCATTGCGCTTATCCCGCGTGCTTGTTTCCTCTAAATCGTATTGGAGTCACGATCACCAGGAAAACGGGTGGGCACAAAGCCAACACAGTTTTTTATGGTAGTCACTACAATGACATCATTGCATACTTACTGGGACAGTTACAGATGTAAACACATCACTGCAACACTCACTATCACCTACTTATCGGTCATCAGTCCGGACACGATCTCACAATTATGCTAATTAACTCCGAAGCGCAAAAGAAACGTAAAAAAATTGCAATATTTTAAGAAATACGGCGACACCAATCCTCTGCCTACACGAATCACATTGAATACGCGCTTAATACACAATTTTCACTAATAGTTACAGATTGCGTGGCACGGTTTTGAATTCATAAGGTCAGTCATGAAGTTTATTTATCGTTGTAATAGAATATTATGCCATTTTTACTAAAATTAATTTACAAAAGCCATGTATGACATGCATGCCATTGCCATTTTAAATCCGTTGCGTTCGAGAACAGCCCATTGGAATGTCAGTTAATTTTACAGAAGCGTTCAGATTGGATTATACAAACTAAATCGTATTAGTTTGTACCTGTTTCAAAAGAGAGTTTTTTTGTTTTACTTAGTGAAATAGATATTTTCATCAATTTGGGTAAATTATTTTCAGCATATTTTGTTCTAAGTGCTAGTGTTAGTGTTGCCATTTATGCAGACTCAATACGATTTGTACCAAGTGATTGCGGAATATTGAGTATTATTATTAAGGACTCCACATTTTTTTTTTAAAAAAAGGAAAACAATAGCTTTGTTTCAGTTAAAAGTACAATACCAACTATCAGTAATGAATTCTATTTGTGTATACTTCACAACGTTTAATTATTAAGCGAATTTATTTTTATAGCTTTCACATGTAATTTTTTGCGTATTTATGTCATAATTTGTCATAATTATAAAATAAAACACGGTCATGTTAATTAGGAAAAATTTATTGAAATTATAATTTCAGAATCTATTGCACACTTCCATTCATCCTAGTGCCCACATTTTCACTGTGACTGTGAATAAAACTTAAAACTAAATGAGAGAGTTGTAGATTACTCGCTCTTTGTCTTCGTGTCGTCCTTGTAGTATAGGAATACAAAGGAAAACAGGAATACGCCAATCATCATGGAGAAGGCGCTTACATAGTATGGGTATGCGCTTGGGATGAATCGCTCATACTGTGTGTGTTGCAGAGGACGTACTGACACCTGCGAAATCAAAAGTAAAATCACTAACTTAAAAATGACATATTTAATCTTTCAATCAGTAAACTTTTGAGTTCAAAATAAATGACTAGAATTTTAAACATTTTTTAATCTAAACACATTTTATCCAATCTGTACTGACCTGTGTTGCATGATAAAGTCTGGTGTATCCAATTCTATCATAATCAACTTTGAATTGGTAAACACCCCAAACATCAGGGACCTTGAATATCGCCTCGTATACACCATTAGGCTTCTTCTTCAGAGTTGTGCGGATGAAGGGATCAATGCGCACAAACTCCAGCTGGACATCGTTGGCATCAAATGGCTGCCATTTGCCATTCTTGAGCTCTTCAATTTCAATCCTGTATACCTGTAGAGGGAGAAAAGGGAAAAAATATAAACTCAATACCATTTTTATAAGGGGTTATATAAGTTTTATTTTATTTTTTGAGGGCAGAAAATCATTAAATTACTTCTCTTGCCCTGGACAAGGTGAGAGAGGAATTGTAAGATTCTTACTGACTACAAACCATGCTGTTTTTTCTTCTAGTTCAGGCAAAGGCTGCAGTGCATTATTGGACTTGACCCATAGCCCATAACCATATAAGCAGATATCTCATTTGCACTTCTTAGGTTTAAGTTATTTTGTTGTGTGCTTATTGGAACCTATCATTCTACATGGACATATCCATATCAACCAAGTTTAATGTCAATTTATGAAATAATATACTTACAACAGTGTCTGTGATAGTGTAAGTGTTAGAGGACTCCTTCTCTCCTTCGCGGTGGTGGTCGACGTTGCGAACGCGCAGACGGCCACGCTCTCCGAACGCCCATTGGCTAAGGTGAATAGACAGAGCTTTGTTGCCTGATTGGGCTGCACTCACTTTGTCACCCTGAGAAACAAATAATGTGGGTGAAAACATAGCATATATCCAAAACAAATGTAAGTTCTGTGCTACTCCTTCTTCGCTTCCATTGACCCGCCCTTTTGGATGGCACACAAGGGTCAAAGCCCTTTTATCAACTTTAATATTTAATATCCAATTATATACTGTAGATTCTCAAAAACCGAAAAAACACAATATTGCTTTGCTTTACTCAGGATTTGATCCAGAATCTGGTTGGTTTGGTAGTTCTATTAGTGACAACTTGACAAAAAAGTTAACATACTTTAAAAGATATCAAATCAAATTCAAGTTTTACATTGAATTATACAAGTACCTACAGATAATAAGAAACAAACTATATAAAAGCTTGTACAGATGCAACTTACATGAACTTTAGCAACACCAGAGTTGAAGGCCTCGTCGGAGAAGAAGAAGAGAGAGCCACTGAAAACAATGCGAGCATTGTTCCTTGCCTGCAGGGCAGCAATCAGTACAGTCTTACGGCCAACTGCATGGGGATACTCCTTAACCTGAAAAATAAAAAAAGTACAGTTATTAAACATGAACTAAAGTTACTATCATATCTATTAATAATATTTAGAAATATAATCAAAGAACACAATAGTATGCTATTTGTGTTTAACACTAACCCAGTAGTAGTTTTCTATATTTTATTTGAAAAGAATTACCATGCTAATATTATGAGAATTGTCTTTATGGTAAACTTTAAAGTACCTGGTTCTTAGGGTTGTAGCTGTAGGCTGTGGAATCAGCAGTCAGTATAGGCAGAACCAGAGTGTTGTCTTTGTCCAAAATAAGACCAGTGCCTTCAAACAGCAAGGGTTGCGTGTTCTTGTCTCCAACAATGGTTGGTGCAGAGATTAAGTTCTTGGGAGAGACCACAATTCTTGTGTGTTCACCATCATCAGAGACATCATAGTTGAAATGGTCAATAACTGCTGCTGACTCTTCATCCATCTGTACAAAAAATATAATTTGTCAATGCAGTCATATATCGATAATGTGACAAAAAATGTGTAAATAAATTATTGTCTCCAATTGGACAGCTTGGCTTCGGTTTCTGAGTAGACCAATGATAATATTAAGTGTAATGAACAATTTTTTACTTACAAATTAATAATATTCATACCAGTGAAGTTCAGTGGCTAGACTTTCCTTTATGGACCGTCGAGTTGAGCGTTCATTTTTTTTTTTGTAGATAGAACACATTAACAGAAGGCTTTTTACAAATTTTTATGTTGCGGAAACTCACGGTTTACGAGATATAATTATTTAAAAATTGTAAAGTCTATTGAAAAATTCACGCCAAATTTGACGTTTCGCGTGTTGTTGACTTCTTTTTTTTTTTTTTTTTTGGAGTATTCCTATTGAATATAGGTTATATTGAAATAATTGATACATTGTCTTTTGGCATAATGTTTTTAATGTGCTACAAAAGTTAGTGACAGAAATGAATTGCTGCGAAACCGACTTTACGTGGTCTCTTTTCTGCCCTACCCCGAGAGTGTTTTTTAAATTCGCGAAGGCGCGGAGGGGCGGGGCGGCCCGCGAGCTGAGGAGCAGGTGGTTATAACGCACATCGCCGTGGCTGAGGCTGGCCGGCGAAGCCGGCCAGCAAGCCGAAGCCGCGGTGATGGGCGTAAAACCATCTGCGACGATTAGCTCGCGTGGGACCGCCGGAGCCCCGCAGCGCCGCAGCCGTGACAGAAGCCATGCCTGCTGCATGTTGCAAACCACCCAGAAGTAGGAGCCCGCGTAGACTTTGCCTATTAAGTGACTTTTAGTGTTTTGAGGTAAGGTTATAAAAAATCGTATTTCTCGGCAACTGTGAGTTGCCTTGTCATGGGAGTGGTACTGGGGGAAGGGGGCATCCTCCCCACTGCGGTACGATTCTAAAGTTATACATACATACATACAAACTATCCGAAAAATCTATCCTAACCTCAAAATTTTAACAAATTTTGACCATGGATATCTCCGTAACCATAGGGCTCCGCGGGGTGGGGATGGGCCTGGGGGGTAGTCCTCACCCTCCCCCTCCCCCCTCCCCCCATTTTGACCCCAAAATCGACGGTCCATAAAGGAAAGTCTAACCAGTTCAGTCAACCACAAATGATTTACACGAGCTTAATATTTACCTCAAATCCACATTCGGAGGCAATTTCCCTGTAAACGTCGCCGGCGGCTGCGTTGCCCGCCATGAGAAGGTTACCGCCATCATCGATGAACTTAGTAATAGCTTCTGTGTCGATTTGGCCGCCAAACTCCAGTACCGAGGGGGCGAATACGATTAGATTCTTATACAAGTACTCTCCATACTTAGACAGCAGTAGGTTCGGGTCGTCCGCTAACTTGTACGTCAAGGTGTAACCCCTCTCTGAAATGGATATGTGAATGAATCGATGAAATGTTATTTATAAGAAAATAGATGAACTGAATAAAAATTGCCCGTGTGCCTGATAAAAATCAGCTATAAAAAAAATTGATAGAATGATACCGGCGCCACATAGCGTTTTACTAACCTTGCAAAGATTTAAAGAACTGCGAGTGAGTTTCCCTTATGTTAAGATTATCAACTAAAACTAATGTTTCTTGCTCAGCTAGAGCTAACGATAAGCTAGCAATAACCCCTAATATCAATGATATCTTCATTTTTATTTTAGTCGGCCACCAGTCTCACAAAACGTCAATTTATCAACCAAGACCAACACCAATCAATGAATGACGTGTCCCGTCAACATTAATAGACAATTTTACTTTTTTTAAAAGTTAAAATTATTCTGTCTATGATTTGGCAAAAAAATTGTTTTGTGCAGTTGGCAGCAATGAAAATTTATCAATCTGTGGTATTAATTTATTTTGATTGACGTTTCGTAAAATGATTTATTTTTGTATCGAAAACTGCTGTCCGATTTATCTAAATAAGTAAACTTAGACGCACGGAGTATTAATTTCGTTAATTAGTCTTTCATAAGAGTATTTACAATGATCATATCGCGGTCCAAGCACCGCTCTTCGGTGGAAGTGTGTGCGGATTGCGGTGCATCAGGTCAGGGCGATGTTCTAGTTTTAGATTTGTATTTAATTGTTCCGGTCGTAATTTGTGAAGTGGTTTCTAAGTTGTTTGTTGGCCGTAGATCCGTCATGGGCTTCGATAAACCGTGGGCTGCTCCTGTGTGCCGAATGCTGTAGTGTGCACCGTAGTATGGGACGACACATCTCTCATGTTAAATCCTTGCGCCAGGGATCCTGGCCACCGTCGCTGTTAGCTGTACGTATTAAATAATTTTAATCATCCTTAATGCCGTCTAAGAATCGTAAAGGATCTGCTGGCCTAATTACTTTAACAGATGATTGTTTTAATTCAGTGCTTAGTCATCTGGATTATAATGAGTTTAATAGAACAATGAGCTTAACAACAAGTCTCTGACTAGAGTCTATATTTAGAAACACTTGGACAACTAGCAAAAAATATGAAAGGATAAATTCATGACAGAATTATTGAAGCAGAATATAATATAGAAGAAGGATGTGTAACATGTATGTTTTTAAATATTATTCTCTGAGTGTATAATACTATTCAGATGGTGCAAGCACTGACAGCTCAGAACGTGAACTGCATCTGGGAACATTCCTTACTGGACACTTCAGCCCCAAAACACCTTCGCAAGAAACCTCAACCTAAAGACCCTTTACAGTAAGAACAATATTGCTTAACTTTACAACAGTATCATCAATTACAATGAATTATCTGATAAGCTATCTCTCCCCAACAAAACTATGTCAACAAATGAAATCTAGGTACCTACCTAAATGGAGATTTGCATAATTATATTACTTGGAAATGGAACAATATAATAATTAATATTGTTTATCATGTAAACAAAATGAATGCATGTTCCCATAGCTGCAAAGCTTATTAAGGTCATGTAGCTAGTTTAACAAACCTTATGAGGTCTAATTTAGCAATTGTATATTTTAGCCCAGTAAAATCAGAGTTCATTCTTGCAAAGCACCTAAGGCTTGCTTATGTACTGAGAGCAAGAAGAGATGAACCCCCTAGTGAGCTTGGCAGACAGCTGCACAGTGCGGTCAGAAGCTCTTCCTTGGACACTGCTATGAGGCTTTTGGCCCAGGGAGCTGATCCTAATTACTATAATCAGGTTAGTACTCAACTTTTTCAAAAGTAGTGTGGTTTGGTCTTGTCTAATGTGTTGTCTGTTCTTATGTTTAAAACCATAAACCATAACAACAAAAAAATTGAGTTTCTTACATCCAGCCATTTAAAGTTAATGTTTCTAGTGTTCAAAATATTTGTAAACTGTTTGTAATCACTGATTCATTCAAAGAGAATACAATTTTCCTTCCTTAATTTTATTTACGTGTTTACTACCATTAAATTCAGTTTTACACTTAATAATGATACAACAGTAATAAATACTTTAGTTAAATTAACAATGTTATTATACTGGGATTTGCCACATTACGTTAGTCACAACAATATTTCTGTAAATACATGCTCCCGCGCAATTACGCGCGCATTAGGGCTTCTCTTCGTCGTAGCTTGCTGTTGTGACGCATATAAAATTAAAACAATAAAAAATCATATAATGACATTACGAATCCCACAAATGTGAAGTTGCACTTGATTAAATTTGTTAGCTGTAGGTATATTCATTTGTAGCAAGCTACTGAAAGCAGGCTTCCACTTTATTTGCATTTCTGAATCACTCACAAATCTAGGCTACCCGCGAATTTGACGATGTCATCGGTCCATCTAACTGAGCCCTTTCCTTCTTGCGCTACATTTGCTCCTTTAACCAGCCAGGAACTTTGCTCCATAATGTCATCAGTTTTATGCAAGCCTCTATCTATCATTCTAACTTCAATTCTTTCTGACTTGAGCGCGTTTATTATCGTCCTACAGGAGAAGGGCACGACTTGCCTACACGTGGCCTGTCGTGCTGGTCAACCAGCACAAGCTGAGCTGCTGGTAGCTTGGGGTGCCGAGCCCACCGCACGCGACCACTCTGGGAACATGCCTGCAGACTGCGCTAGGTAAAATTGAAATATTAATTCCTGATTATTCTTGAAAGTTTTTGCTATAAAAATAGAGTACCTACTGTTCTGCGACTACGTAAGCATTGACATACTTACTACAAAAATAGCGTTTATTCCGTTTATTCGGGATAAATCGGGGTTTTTGTGCACATAAAAATAAAATCTACTTCTCTCCCAAGTTTTTTTATATAAATCCATTAAGTAATGTTTGCATATGATAGTTGTCAGGAAAATAGATTGTCCTGACAAAATATTGTATTATATAATTTATAAAGATACTTTGCTCGTCTACTCGGGAATGGAACTAGCGCCAAGTAAGCCAAACCAACAAAATAAACTAACTCAAATACAAACAAAATCTTCATCATTACTTGTTTGTTACGTAATGAAGGTTATGAGATGCTCTTCAAACCAACACAAAGCGGGTGCCTACTGTTTTGGAAAGTCGTTAATCTGCCTACGTAGTGTACTAGACATAGACTGCAGAACGGCGGTAACCTTTCGTTTTTTTTTATTTATAAATATGGCAGATGCAAGGTCTTTTAAGCTATATAACTCCTACAGAAACATTTTACAAATATGGAACTGAGATATATTATATTTTCGAAATGTTAAACATGTTTTTCGAGTTAATTATTAAAGTGTGTTTGAGTGATTGAACATAAAATATTGATTGGATTTATAATTTTAGCTGTAGGTTAGGTATTTTAGTTATTTATTAAATCTGTTATTGCATTTGAAAGAATATTAACTTTATTAAATCGTTCAGACAGGGCGGCCACACGGAGCTAGCAGATCGTATGACAGAGCTGGTGTATGAAGCTACCGACCGTATGATATACTTCCTGACGGGGGAGAAACCAGACCACGCGTCCGGCAGACACTACATAGTGCCGCGAGCACATGACACGCATGAGATGACTGATGTCGCGAAGGCGGCGAGGGGCAAGCTGCAGTTGGTAAGTTTATGTGTAGCAAAAAAATACATAAATATACACAATTACGCATCTATCATTGGTTAATTTATTTATATTTTTATATTTTACATGTGTACAGCACAACCGAACCGCCTACATGTTATTTATATGTGCAAAACAAAATGTAAACATAAAAAAAAACATCTGCATCAAATATTGTGTTTAAATCTCTGGTAGTCATAAGAACTACTAAAGACTATTTTTTTTTTCTGACTGTAACACAACTATTTATAACATTATGTAAAACCTATTTTAATAGTGAACTTCATCGTTTACTTACATTGTATAACTTTACAATTCAATACTAGATGCCGTTGTGCGTATGACGTCATTTTTTACATGGCGATGTTAAGATTCTCCGCGACTTAATGACCCCCGCCAGTACATTTGTGTTTTGAAAGAAGGCTACTACCAAGGTGCACTCTCGGGCTACGTCCTACTTGGAATAGTCACTTGAGACTCCTCTGCATAGCAAGTCACGGACACTATTATACTTTTATCTCAATAATTGTATAATTTTTTGGAGGTCTGCATCCGTCACCTTCGTTCAAGCGGAAAGGGTTGTGAGGGACTGCGCCCTTTTTTATTTTACCAAAATATATACGTTGACAACATTGACCTGTCTTTCCTTCAAGAACGCGTGACTACACCGAACAACAATAACCTCTTACCTGACTAGATTTTCTATACCTAAAGGACTAGGTACATTTTGAATAATCTTAATATGTATTTTGGTCACTGGGAACTATAAATAGGAAGCATTTAACTTTAATCTATTTTTCTAATTAAAAGTTAAACATTGTCATAAAACTGAATTTACCTCAGTTGTTATATAAATAATAAAATAAATGTTATTAATATTATTGCTTGTTTCCAGCTCCCAAATCATCTATTTGAAGAACTTGTTATGGACATATATGACGAAATCGATCGCAGAGAAACAGAAGCCAGTGAGTAATATAGATCAACTTTATAACTTAAAATTTACTTCAAACAAATACTTTTTTACACCTTATTTCAAAACAAACAAGGTTGATAAACCCTTGAGATTTATACATTTTTCTTTTCAAACACATTTCATCATTTTGTACTTTATTGCAAAGTTTCTAAGGTTCATATTTCAATGAAACACGATGTCCACTCTTAAATGACCGTATGGTTATAGTTTGGCAGACAAGTGCAACTGGCTTGGAGAGATCTGGCGTGGTGTTTCTGCCAGTGAACCCTGCATTGTCAGCGCCGCGCAACCAGGGCAGGCAGAAACTGGCGAGGCTGTCCACTGCAGAGATGGCTACGCTACTACGAGACGTACTCGTCGATGCTACTAGAAGACAGCATATTGCCACGCTACAACCACGAGGTGAGTCCTACATTGAAATGACGGTTCGCTGGCCCACACCGCTGAGGAGAAAGCAAATCTGTTTGCCTCCCTCTTCGCGTCTAGATCCCGGTGACGCGCGGCCTCCTGCTTATCCTGATGGTTTCGAGACGAGTATGTCAGACATTCGCATCCGTCAGAAGGACGTCCGTAGGGTGCTACGTAACCTAGACGTGAACAAGGCTAGCGGTCCTGACGGGATACCGGCAATCGCTGCAAATGCTGAAAACGTTTGCGCCAGAATTGACTCCAATCCTGACACGCCTATTTAGGCTTTCATTTGAGGCTGGAAAAGTGTCAAGCTAACCTACAGCCCGTGCCCAAAAAGGGTAGTCGGGCTGACCCAGCTAACTACAGGCCCAGCTCAGTAACGTCCATTCTCTGTAAGACAATGGAACGTGTACTGAACACGAAACTCCTGGCATACCTAGAAGACAATGACAACTTAAGTGACCGACAATACGGATTTCTTATTATTTTTTGTTTGTGTTGTTGTTTTAATGTTTATTGTCTTAATACATATGTATTTGTTAATGTTCCCCAACAGAAAAGTGCCCTATTAATGAAAATTGGCACTTACGAATAATGGATCAAAGTTCAATGTCATTTATTAAAGTAAAATTGTTATTCTAGCTCCCACGACGTTGATGAACCCGTTGCTGTCAGCGAGCCACTTGAAGCACTTCTCACAGATGTCGGATGATGAGCCTCTTTACGACTCTGTAGCCTCCGACGAAGATTACGCTGCTTTAGCACCAATAGACTTAGATGTAAGTACATTTTAATATTTAGGACTTTAAGCGACACTGGCGCCACTGTCGGCGTTTCTAATTCTTTGTGTATAGATAACAGTGATGATAAAATTTTTTGGTAACAGATTTTTGTTTACAATATCATTAAGATTGAGAAGAGATGAAAGAGATTTTATTGTTTACAATACATTTCAATCTATACTTTACCTGATCAAGAGAAGATAGACACAGAAAAAGCAGCTGGAAGAGTCACAGATACTTGTCACAGTATATGCTGGTCAATATACCAGGAAAACTGATGTGTTAGTTTATAAGCTAGATTAAGTACTTAATATTATAGTATCAGCAATAAAAACAAATAAAGTGTGAAAAGTAACTACTAAACATCATGGGCGATAGCCTGAACAATACGTGCTATTCTTGTAATGACGGTACATGGTATTACCAACAGTTGTCGAGCGTGGTGCCCCGCGCGGGCGAGACTGTGTCCTCGACGTACAACCCGTCCCTGCCCCTCGAACACTCCTCCATAGACATGCGACGCACGCAGTCGCCCAGCAACTTCGCACACGCCGCCATACCCGAACAAAACACGGAAATAGAAACACTCAAGAAAGAAATTCACACTAAAGACTCCACCATCACCGAACTCAAGAATCAACTGAAGAGCTTACAAACTATTGTGGAACAACTAACGAAGGAAAACAGTGTCCTGAAGACGACTAGTAGCGTGGATGATGACCAGAGTATGACGTCACAGATTTCTATAAACGACAGCTCGAGTAATGCTCTAGAGCCGTCCAAAGCGCAAGAGAGAGGCAAGAGTCTCGAGACAGAGCATTTCAGCCGGCCGGAGGAGGTCGATGGCAAGTTGTCCCTGAAACCTGCGCAGCGACCGGTCAGTATGTATGAAACTAGAGAGGGACCAAAGAATAACTGGCAGGTTACTAAACACCAGGTACTAATTTATTAATTACACTAATTAATTTAGCGCGCAATAACACGCTAGTATTAAGGTGGATATCGTTGTTCTCATTGCAATAATCATTATCATTTTACATCATCTTTTTAACTGCTAACTTGTAGAACTTTATTAATAAAATTGAAACTGAAAGACACTTTGGATTGGAATTTAATATAATGTAATGGGGATTTAGACTAGACTAGGAATACTAGGATTAAATAATTTACTAATGGCTATAAAGTAGGGGTTATACTCACATTTTCAATTAGATTTAGTAAGTGATGAGTCGTGGTGGATGGAGGTTTAGGCCCCACTGCTCATGCATGAGGGTACGGGTTCGAAGCCTGGCAAGTACAAATGTGACTTTCCGAGTTATATGTACTCTCTATGATTTTTTGACACCACTGACATAAACATTTTGAGGAAACCTGGATTTGCAATTTCTAATTATAAGTTTGAAATCGCTAATCCGTTTGGTGATTAATGCTCAAACCTTCTCCGTGTGAGAAGAGGCCTTTGTTTAGTAGAGGCACTTATAGGCTGAGTAGCTTCTGCCCGTCACTTCGCATGCGTGGTATATTGATAAAAAGTAGCCTTTGTCCTATTTCGGTGTGTATCCTCCGCCTGTGCGAAATTTCATCCAGATCCGTCCAGTCGTTTCGGCATGACTGAAAAACATAAGTAAGATTATTTAAGTAGCGTTGAGTGTGGTCGGTCGTACAGCTGACGACGCTATCGAGCCTGGAGCGGTCGCTGTCGCCGGAGGAGGCGGCGGGGGCGGGGGCTGGGGGGGCGGCGCTGCCGGCGGCGGAGCTGGTGCAGCGGCGCGCGGAGTGCGTGACGCGCGCCATCTCCGAGCTGTGGGCGGCCGCGCGCGACCAGCACCCGCGCCTGCAGCAGCGCGCTGACTCCATCCGACACGCCGTGCGAGCGCTACTCGCGCTCTTCCCACAGGTACTGTTAAGCCTTTCCGTATCAATATCCAGGGTTTTTCAACTACAACTTGGTTTTCTTAAAAAATAGTATATGACAATGACTCATTTTTTATTGTTTTACAAGAGGAAAAGTTGGCAATTATGAACGAGAAATCATATCTGGCAAAAGTCCACCGTGACCACGCCGACAACAATTCAGTCAACTTTTTCATAAAAGTGTTTAATCACTTTTTAACAAAATGATGTAGGAATTTTCCAAACCGATACAACCTTCAAACTTTCGAGAAACGAGCATTCAGTACCGCCAACGTATCTTGGCGAGTCTGAAGTTAGCCGATTAGCTGCGCAGTACCTACACAATTTTGTTCCTAAAAGATCCATTGCGCAGACAAACGGCTAACTTCAGACTCGCCAACATACGTAGGCCGTATTGTACTCTTTCTTAAAAGGTCGGCCACGTGCCTGTGAATCCTCTGGTGCCGCAGGTGTCTCTATAGTCGCCGTAGAGCCTGTTCGTTGGTCTCCTATTCCATAAAAAACGCATTCTGAGTTTAGGGGAAGTAAATTCGATTTTCGAGCGAAATTGGAAGTCATTATTACAATTGCCAAATCATCTACACTAAGAATACGTAAAAAAATGTAAAACACTAATGTTGTGAGTGTTGTCTCAATTGAAAAATAAAGTTATGTTCACCCTTTACCTGTATATATGTTTTTTTATTTTCTTCTAAGGTTAGGTAATTAGTGACCGATATTTTAACACGTGAACTGATAATAAAACGAAATATTCCTGGAAGTCTAGACAAGGTTAAAATAGTGAGAAAATATGGATAGTTTGTTATACTAAAAACATTATTTTTTTTACTTATACAAATTGTTCTAATGACATTCGATGTTTTAGAAGATTTAACGAGTAATAATGTAAATGTTTCGATCGAGTAGTTTAGTCGGTCCCACGTGGGCGCCAGTAATGATGACCAAAGTTTTGGCGCCCACATGGGACCAACGTGTAATCTCAACAATTTAGTACTTATATATAATAAATACATAGAAATTTTTATGTTAGCTCAATATCTTTTCTACCTTTTACATATTTCAAGTTTAACGTATTTTTTATTTTCTTTTTGTGTGCTGTTCCGTTTGCGGGTTTATACCTTATTATAGTTAATCAGGGAAATGTTTAATTATGCAACAATAATCTGTAGAATCGCCTATGTCGTACGTGTGACAATAATGAAAGTCCCCCCCCCCCCAGCAGTGTGAGGAAGAGCCTGCGGTGTGGCAGATGGTATGCGAGCTGCGCGCGGCGTGCTCGGAGGTGTCGCTGGCGTGCGCGGCGCCGTGCGCCCTCAACGAGGTGCGCGCCGCCGCGTACGACCTGGCCAAGGCCACCAAGCTGCTCGTCACGCACTTCCAGCCCCACTCATAGCGATCGCCTCTCTGCTACTACACCACCCTGTAGGGCTGTAAACTTACTCCGAGACGTGACTCCGAGTGTTTGTGCTATTATATTTTCTACAGTATTTTACTCTTTTTGTAGTGCGACGACAAATGCTCGTCGGCTAGTGTTCATTTTGCGTGAGAGGTGCTGAACTAGCTTCGAAGACAAATTGCATTTGGAGCATTTTTGGGAGTTCCAGACAGAATTCACACACGCCTGCTTTAGATTGTAATTTAAAACATAAATTATATTTCTAGTTATAAAATGAAATTTAAAGTAATTCGTCAAATGATCAGTTGTCTTCCTTTAAGTCGGTTGTATATCGCAGCTCAACGTCACCGCAGCTAAGAAAAACAACATAAATATAAGTATACTTGACAAATCACAAATTCGTTATAAAAAAGACTAACTTTATGATTTTTCATGTTTATAATAATTATTAATATAATGTTTGTTTGTTTCCTTTCACGGGATCATAGGATCCCGGACCTTTGGAAGGCATACGAGGAGCCGAAGCCAACTCGCAGAGGCCCGTTGAACAATTAATATAAATGTGATGGGACATCACCCGGCAATTATACCCTGTATACACTATAAAAGTGCACCCAAGGACAATCCCCGGTTGATGCAGGATTATTTATTTATTTATTTGTGAAATGTGGTAAAAATTTATAGGGTTATAGGTATGGGTTGCTATGGACTGGTGGATATGATAGCTATGGAAATACTATGGCCCCTGCCCCTGATCAATATTGTTATATACGGATAAACAGGCAGGGGGTGACTGGCAAACTCAATTAATGGGCCCCCGGAAACGGCCGCTAGCATGTACGGGGGCGACATACGTTAAGCTGCTTGGGGAAGGAGAGGCATCCCACGGCTATCAGATCAATCCCGGAAGTACGATCAAGACCCCTACCAGCACCTTACTGAGACACATCCTTCCCCCGAGTCTCCTTCAACTCCTACTCGTGCGAATCTCCACTCAAGCCAGCCACTTAAGGCAAGAATGAGGTAGGAGGGCTTGTTCTTCATCAGTTTTCACTCCAGCTCGTCACGAGGACTAACCTGAGATGAAGAACAAGACACCTCCCGGGAGTCAGGTCCGTGGGGTCGCCACTGCCCAACAGCTCGCCACAAGCTGCCTTGCGGATATTTTTTTTTGACATGACAGGAGTGAGGGGATTTGAAGGGGCCGGATGAGATGGGTCCAACTACTGGATTACCCACTCGCCTCTCCTTTCGGTCCACCACCACAATATCAGGCTTATTGGCCACAATAGTCCTGTCAGTGATGATAGACCGGTCCCAGTACAATACCTGTAGTACGGCACTTCCGAATCCACAAGAGAGTATTTCAGAGCAAGCTGCTGATGTATGATCCTGGCTAAAAGATTATGCCTATGCAAGTACTCGCCGTTAGCTAGACGAGAACAACCAGAGATTATGAGACGAATTGATTCTTCCGGACGGTGACATACCCGACAGATGTTAACCGTGCCGTCCTTCACAATGAATCTCCGGTAGTTATTTGTCATGATAACTTCGTCCATAATTGCACAGACAAACCCTTCAGTTTCCCCAAAGAGATCACCGAATCGAAAGAGGTCACCGAATCGCAGCCAGGCTACACACGCTAACTGGTCTACATCCGGCCCGTGTAGGGTTTGGAAAAAGCATCCGTGAAGCTCCTTGCTCTGCCATACTTCCCTGCGAGCGTTGGTGTCAAGTACGACCGGTTTGCGCCAGTTCTCGTTAGCCAGGGAGGGCGGGGTGAGCCATTTGTCTACTGCCACTACATCTCGATGCATACCCACGTCGGCAGCAAGGAAATATTCCCTGAGATTACATACCTCGCGGTTGTGTTGGGTCTTGGCATTTAAAAAGCCTCGACCCCCACCCTTCCGCGGGATATACAGTCTCATCACCGACGATCGCGGGTGATGCATTCGGTATGCAGTCAGCATTGATCGGACCCGCCTATCCAGGGCGTCAAGTTCGGTTTGAGACCATTTGAGTACTCCGAAAGAGAACATCAATACCGGCATGACCCAATCTTTGAAGGCGAGCACATAGTTTCCGCCTGAAAGAAAGCTCTTAAATACCTTCTTGAGGCGACCAAAGAAACGCTCCCTCAGCGATTGCTTCATGTCAGTGACATTGATGCCTAAAGCTTCCAACATACCCAAATACTTATAGTTCTCGGTTGGGGAGAGGGACCTCAGGTTTATGGAATCCGTGAGTTGAGTGCCCACAGACTCCACAATCTCCCCTCGTTTTACATGCATGACCGCGCATTTGTTCACACCAAACTCCATCCTGATGGCGCTACTGAAGGTTTCAGTAAGCTTGAGTATTATTATTAATAATAATAATAATTTATGTTTCCTAGCTAAGCTGCTAGGTGATCTGTTGACCTATTGATACACTAGATGGGGTATATAAAAAACCACCTCTGTGTATTGAACTATGCTGGTGTATTAATATGTACTAATTAAACTAATAACACTAATGACACTTGTTTCCTAGCTAAATTACTAGGAGATCTGTTGACCTATTGATACACTAGATGGGGTTTATAAAAAACCACCTCTGTGTATTGTTCTATGTTGGAGCATTAGCACTATAAAAGCAATGACCCTGCCTGTTTATCCGTATATATCAATATTGGTCAGGGGCAGGGGCCATAGTATTTCCATAGTTATCATATCCACCAGTCCACAACAACCCATACCTATAACCCTATCAATTTTTACCACATTTCCAAATTAAAAAAAAAAGTCCTGCGTCAACCGGGGATTGTCCTTGGGTGCGCTTATATACTGCATACAGGGATAATTGCCGGCTGATGTCCCATCACATTTAGATTAAAACTGTTCAACGGGCCTCTGCGAGTTAGCCTCGGCTCCTCGTATGCCTTATAAATATAAAATATACAATCAAACATCGTACATAATCATAATCACACAAACATAAAATCACTCTAAAGTGTAATTTTAGAGTGATTTTAATAAATATATGGAAATAATAATAATTAATTTTTATTAAATGCTTGAAAATTATTGTGGAGTATAATGCGGGAGTAACAAATAATGCAATACATTATAATTAGTGTATATGACATAATTGTACTAATGGTTGTAGAATAAGCAAAGGTCAAAAGGTGATCTTTACATGGATCGCTGGTATATTAGTGGTAATGTCAATTTAAGTAAATAGTTACAAAACCCGAGGCTAATCGTGATATTATCACAAGCGATGAGATTATTCACATCTTTGATTGACCTACTATTCTCGTTCTACTATAGAAAACTAAATAAATGGACAGTATATTTATAAGATTAAGTAATTATATGATCTCGAGAACTGACAAAATGTAATGCAATTAATATGAAATTATTAAATTTTAAAAGGTCAAGTCATTCAATATAAAAATTCTGAAGAATGTAACAAAACGCTTCGTGCTTTCGATGTCTTGTATACTTATGTATAAATGCAGCGCTTCATAGATAGTAGTAGGGGAGCCCATGAAGAAATTTCGGGAGTTACTCGAGCGCGTCAGATTATCATATGGGGAATATTTAGTAACCTAATAACAATAAAAAAAAACAATAGATTAGGGGGGGAAAGGTAGACGTCATGTCAAAGTAAAGGCGTTTAAAAAATCTGCCGTTTTCATCGTCGTTTGCAACAGCAATAGAGTTTTGAACGGGTCCCGTTTCTATCCCCTTAGTTAGCCAACCCCACCACGCAATTCGGCAGATTAAAATATTTTCACTGTCAGAAATACATGGAGAATATACATTATTAATATCTGTCACGTTCGTGCACTAAAACAAAAGTTACATCTCATAATTTTGGAAAACTATCATTCCCCCCTTCCCCCACCGGATGAATGAAATGTCATTGAGACATTTTTTCTTTCTATCATTCAGAATCTAGTTACTCCCTACGACGCTTGAGTAACTACAAATTGAGCATCCTGGGCTCCCCTACTATAGAACAAATATATCAAATTAAGTTCAAATGACATGTACATGTACAATCTTGTTTAATGTATCCTCAAAGGGAAATTCATTTAGAAAAATTATTATACTTTTATAATAGGAGTGTCGTGATAAGGCGTAGTAAACGGTGTTAGTGATTTATGTATTCTAATAAATAAGTATAGCTATATACATAAATGAGGTATATAAGTGTCAGTATAGCATTTCCTTATAATAAGTGACAAGGTATTAGACGCATATGTTGTTATACTGTGCTCATTCGACTGCGTTGCCTACCCACCAATAATAAATACATTTTTTGCTGAAGTCTAGACCTGAAATAATATAAACAAGCGTTGATCGAAATGAGCAGAATTGCCCACTAAACTGTACGCATAAATTGACCTGATTTGTTTACCTGTAGTGTGTTATAGCGCAGTCGAGTTGTTGTTATAAAATGTACCACGATGTGATCATTAAGTGGTAAACCTAAGTGCCATGCCCAAGGGCAGTAAACGTTTTCACTTCGTTTCAAATGACTATCAATAAAGCTTCTTCTAACTCAATAACTCTGCCGTCACAAATCTGCATTTTCTTACACTGTGTCATTCCATTCGATGTGTTCTATCGTATATTGTAATATTTCTAGATATGTACACAATACTTCTACTTCTTTACATTAACTTTATCTTATAACAGTATTTATGTTCTTTACTATTGTGGACTTGCTGTGGGAGGCCTGTATTTCGAGATGGCAATATCAGTAATGATTTTTGTATAACTGATGTATTATCATATCAATAAATACGACAGGGTTCCCTTATTTCATGTACGTTGTACGTCGTGTCGCGGTGACTACCCTTGAGATACAGACTGCCCGCTAGTACAGTCCACGTATACCTAGACAGAGGTGCTTGATACGTAATAGTTTCTCCATCCCAGTGCTCCTTGGTACCCAGTACACTTTGATAACAAATTGTGCCTAAAAATTTTATATTCATACATTTGTTAGAAGTACCTAGATAGGTTTATTGGTTGATAGATTTTATATGAGCGTTTCATAATAATGTATATTACGTTGTTAGATAGGTATTTGTATAGTTAACAAGGTGGATTTACTATTGTGGTTATTATTGTATGTGTAACAATATTAGCTTTCGTACTATTATTGTAATAGGTATATGTTTAATATACGTATGAGTATTATGTGATCACTTTATGTGCCAATGTTTATGTAAAAGACGTAGAATATAGTTAGTGGGGAAGCACTAGACGGGATCCTGTTTCTGTATTTTTGTACATATTTACAATATCCCACCAACACTGCATAGCTTTACTCCAACAACAAACAAACAAAAATACAACAACAACAAGAGACGTTGCCATTGAGTTGTGAGGGACGCCATGACAGACCGCGACTAATGCTGTGGTAATTAGCTGCGCGGCGGCGATAGCTTCCTCGTTTCGTTTAGTGCTGGTAATTACACGACAACCTTGAAGATATCGCTAATTTGGTAATTATGCCGTGAAATACTAGAGTCGTTTTTGTATGTACTCAAGCGGCACCTGACCAACA